ATCCACAGATCAAGTGAACTGCTGAGTCATATCAAGTGCCTACGTATTGGAAGATGAGTCATCGCTCCGAATCACTAGGATATTTGATGACAAAATTCATCGTATTTAAATATTACTAATTTCGGTTTAGAACTATTGTGTAGTAAAACGCATTTCAAATGTTCCTAACATAAACATTATGCGGGGGTGGACTCGAATAATATATATGTTTATGATATACGAATAATATTTTTATGTAACGTTTATGACAAAATGTGTTGGTTTTATCAAACCCTTGAATTACATATATTATTCGGATGACTCTTGTACCAAGCCAAGGTTTCATTTCGAAATTATTGCTTCCGGCTTAAAACCGATTAATAACAAAATAAAGGCATCGCTCGACTAGTTCCCACACCCTTTTTCTATTGGCTAGTTTATTGTATTCTATGAGAACAGTGGCATAGTTGTACATCAAAAAATTATTCCAATTTATAGATTGTAAATTGTATAACCTTAACGGATTTTGGTTATTAGATTTCTGTTTATGCTTCTTTACATCCTAGTCTACCTAACAACCTAACCTAACACACACAGTCCACAACTGTGTCAGTCGCAGTTCGAACGCCTCGGTAAAATCAAAAATGCTACATTTTTACGAGACAAACAGATCTATATAATTTGTCATTGCCATATATGGCCATCAGCGAAAATTCTTAATAACATCTGGCTAATCGGATAAACTTTATTCACGCTTCGATACGCTTGATATCGTGATATTTTAGTAGGGATGTTCTCTGAAACATGTAAGCGTGGATTTACGTACATACTTATGTAGCTAATGCTAAAGGAGTTACAGGGATAATCTATTAGATCACATTACGCTTTTAACCTTATGGGATAAACCTTGAACCTTTTGTCGATTTATTCCATGGGTAATGAGTAGCAGCAGGCTCTAAAAAGGAGCTCTTAGAAATGGACTGACCCATTTCAAAAATCTAGTTGATATTATCACATATTATGCTAATAACGTTCTAATTATACAGTATTAGTCACTGTTTATTGTTATAGGATACAACCTGGAATATATACATATATTAATACTATTAACATATTTTTTTTTTGGAGTTTTGGGCCTGGTATCTAGACCTTTAGGCCATTATTAACACACACATACAATTTTGCCACAGAGCATAACTTTCTATAACATTTAAACCCGCGCAAGTTCTTGCCTATTCTGATGCTTATAAAATTACTCCATAATTAAAGATTGACAACCCTATATGCTCAGATGATCTAACGAGATGCGAAGTAAACTAACGGAATAATGTATAATAATTAGTTAATTTAATAAGTTAATGACGCTCTCTCTGGCATCCGTTTTATTCAAGCCATGCGTTTAATTACCGAGCACTTTTCACTAAAAATACACACTTTCTAATTTTTTTCAGTTAAAACATTGTGAATACTATATAATACTATGTAATATAAGGGCCTTGATATTTTACATTTCTTACTAACTGGACCAATAAAAAAACATGTTACGTACATACGTATCTTCAAGACTTTATTAAAACGGGTTAAGCCCTTTTAGATGCTTTTACTGTAATTATTTAATGTAAGATTTAATTTTTGAATACGAAACAACGTAATAATAACAAAATTGTAAAGTATTATACTATATTTTTTTTTTTAAGACAATTCACACCAATTGACCTAGTCCCATGCTAAGCTGGTGAAGCTTGTGTTATGGGTACTGTCGCAACTAACTGTATGTTATTTTTAATTAAAATAAAATCTGTAGAAGCAACTTAATTCTAGAAGTCCGCGAATGGGAACCTTTTAACATACTTAAAGCAAAGCACGTGTAACCATATACCGAGGGTCTTATGGTTGTTCTCGTTATCCATAAAGAGACTAGGTGGCGTACTATCTACTTGCAAGCCTTATTTGGTCTCACTTTACTTAACGTTGCAGATTTGACCATATTCGTTTATATAAACTAACGGCCCTTTATTAGCAAGGGGCATTGTATATACGTAGTATAGAACTACACTGAGAAGTTCAATCTTTTAAGGGATATTTTTTATGTTTTTGCTTTTAAATGTTTTGGACGAGACACTATTTCTGAAATGTTATGATCGAATGAAGCAAAATGTAGGTATAGTTATCCTACTGGGCTTTAAAAATTATTTAGATAGGGTTGACTAGTTTATTTTAGTGAATTGATTTTGTGTTTTCCCTTTTTTTAACGTGAAATGAAGAAATTTATCCGTTGATGATTTTACTCGATATAACACAAGAACGCCATCTTTACCTGAAATTCCTCACAACATTTACATCAAGCGACGATTAGACATTAGCCTGATTTGTTAAACCATCAATAGATGTCTCTTTTTTCTTCGTAAAAAATATTTAATAGTATGAGTAACCTGATGTTTTTGCTGTTTCATAATTAAGGAATTTACATGCAAAGTATCAGAAATAGTATCTATTCAAAATAGTATGCAGTATGTTTTCGATTTTCAAATTTGAAAATGACAGCAGCAAGACGTTTACAAGACGGTTACATACTTCACGTTGAAATTGTAAAGTGTATTGTCAAAAGTCAAAACATAAAGTGCAACAGCTGCGCCCCTCTGCATTGTACACACATTTTGTTCGATTTTATTAAATTTATACTTTAGTTTTGCTTGTATCAATAACGTTTATTGCCATAAACAGATGACTTTTGTAAAAGCGCCTTCTAGTACTGCTCCTTGGACTACAGTCATAGAAAGTAATGGAAACTTAATAAACAGAACTATGACAGAAAATAGGTAATGCTTCATATACATAATTGAAGTCAATAATCATTATCAGCTGTTATGCATACAAATTTATAACAATTATATACTATTGTATTTCAGAAAACGATCTCGTGAAGATGACACATGTGATTTTATGCCATTATCGAAACGAATAAATAATTTGCATATCAACAATAATATAAATAATGCACTGCCACATCAGACGCAACTTGACTCTAGTCAACTAATTCAAGTTGAAAACAGCTGTATTCCTTCTCCAAGTTCTTCCTCAGATTCAGATAGAAGGCCCAGTTATGATCCCGGGCTGAATTCTAATCAAAGCAATTATTACTATGAAAACAAATTGCTATTTGAACTACATTTAGAGAGAATACAAAGAACTGGGCAGCAGTTTCCGTTTTAATAATAGGTTTTAATAGGTTATTTGTAAGTTTGGTACCTGTATTTGTTGTTTAGTGTATTAATTGTATGTCATTATATTATTTTAAAACTTACAATATAGTATGAATCATCATTGTGCCCTGTTATAATAAAAATGTAAATTAATAACTAAATGATTGATTGAAATTGAAAGCAAAAACCAATCACAAGAAAGAAATAGTCAATATTAGGATAATGACTAAATAGTATCTTGTTTTGATAATGTCTTTAAACTTATATTATTCTAATTTACGAAAACTACTAGCCTTATACAATGTTTCTTCAAGAAAATTATAACAATTTTAGAACTTTAAATTTTTTATTGAAATATTAAGTATAATCTATGCTCCTTATTGGCCAATCACGAATCAATTTGAATTATTTGACTCACTCTATATGCTAGCGCCGCCTGGCGATGGAATTTAATATCAAAAAACAGTATGGCGGCCTGCATATAATGTTGTAGACTGGATTGACGATGTTTACGTGAATTTGTGTGAAAAAATATTGAGTACAACAGTACGTTTGTGTTTGAGCTATTGGAAACAGCGAAAAAAAAACAACTTAAGAAAAGTCACCCAAAGGTATGTTTTGTATTATTAATGTCTGTTGCTAACTTTTAAGTATCCGTGACCTTATTTCGAAAGCGGTACATTGATATACCGTTAGACGGGGCGCGTGGCCGTCCCTGAGTGTTACCGCAAGAGTGTCGTGAGTTCGAGAGGGCCGCGCAACCCCTCCTCTCGCGTTTTTCCTGGCAGTGGTGGAAGGAGTCGGGAGCGGGAGTGCGCTTGGTTTACAGCCGGTATTTGGAGGGGATCCTACGGTTGGTGGGGATGCGTATCGAGATGGACACGCAATCGGGTCGAAGGAATTGGTAGGTTGGAAGGGGTTAACAACCTTCCATCACTATGTTCCGCCCGCCATCATATGGGTTTCAAAATTGTGAATGAAAATCTCTTGAGATGTCAATAATTGCGTAACTAATGAAGCTTTTGATTTGCGTTTCCTTTGTCTATTGTAATAACTTACAAAAGTTACTTATTTGTAAGTTATTTTGATGGATGAATAGAAAATAAACTTACATTTAAAACAATTGTTTAATAGTAAAACATGACCTTGAATTTAATTATTTACTCTGTAATGTAAAGAATAACAATTGTTATCAAGGCTAACTTTGTCTAGCTTGGGCTGTCCTTAATAAATAAAGTGTTAATTCCTTTCACTTTAAATAACTGTATGGCAATGGTTTATTTCATGCCTCAATTTGACTAGTGTCAATTATTTATTTCTAAACTTTGTTTATTTATTAATATTTAAGATATAAGACCTACATATTGTACTTAACATTTATAAATCAAATGTCTACAATAAAACAATTATCTATCAATGAAATACATTGCTATATATCTATTTGTTCACACAACTATTCGCCAACGTCTTGCATGTACATACTCAAGCACATCTAAATGTGTTGTGAAAGTACAGCAAAGAGAAAGTGAGCATCACATTAACTTGAACACATCGTCTGTATATGTGGTACCTAGCCGACCGGTTGTATCAAGCCAGTACAAAAAACTTTCTTTAACCCACTTTCGTATTCTCGCGATGATCTTTTGCCATTCACCGTCGTTTCGCCTCCAGTGTGCTTAGTTTGGTAGTCAACAGTGGTGTGGCCCTACCATCATAACATCCCTCTGTAATCCCAGTTGGTGGTGGGATATTTTTGTGGGGGTATTTGAGAAGTGGGATATTGCGTTTCTTCCGCGGCCGCGCCGTGTAATTGGTGCAATGTGTGATATGCAAAATATGCCCACACAAGATGATGGCTCGTGGTATGGAATTTTTTAGAATTTCTCAAAACCAAAATCATATAATGTTATTAGAAGTTTAAACGGAAGTGCTATAACTATTACTAATAATAAGTTAATTATTGGCTAGCTCATACTTGGAAAGCAGTTTATTCTTGTATTTCCTTGTTAATTTATATAATTTTAGATTATATAAGTAGTTTTTGATAGTGGTTACTCAGCTTGTCTGTCTGATTAATGCCTTTACTTACAATTTTTCAGTATAAAACTGTAGGAACAAAATAATATTCTAATATAGAAGTCTGGTCCCTCAAATACTTGGTGAAACAAATGTTTCATGGATACTCTAAATTTACCACTGCATTTACAACAAATACAGTTTTTGTTTTACGTCGTATATCATAATTATTTATAAATATTAAAAACTATACACATAGAAAACAATGTTTTTTAACAATTACATGTTCAAAAGTCATATATGTCGAAGCTATCTAACTTAAAAAGACTTTTTTATACCTCATACTAAAGGAGGTTTTATAAAATGTATGTTATGATACTATTTCCTTACTATTTATATATGCTTTTTTCAGTGAGGAAGATTCTGAGATGAATTGGAATGCAGCATTTTCAGCCATGGGTGGTGGCACACATTTTGTAACAACAGGTGGCCAACTGCCTGTCACTAAAATACAACAGAATCCTAATAATGGAACTCAGCTGTCACAGGTAATTTGAGACTGACAGTAAATATTTTTTAACAGCTTTATAGTGAATTTGAAATCATAGCTTTAATAGTTTTTGTGAAAACAATAAAGGAAACAAGACCTGCCTGTCTGCCTAATAGCACACTATTTATTAATCTATATCACAAAATAAATGCCATTTGTTTGATACATTCAACTCATGCTAAATCGGGGCATGTGGCTAGGAATTAGTTGTTAGATATAATAACATAAATTTTATACTTTGAAGTTGTTAAGCTAGGAGATGGTCCATACATTAAGTAGCCCTATTGTGTCTCATTGGCATTAGTTGTTTAAATATAAAATGCCATTGGTACTCATGGGTTTACTTACTTCATTAACTCACATTAATTAAGTTCACCATATTATGTTATGTTTCTTGATATTATTAAAATAGTAATGGATGTCAGACCACCTCTAGTGGTTGACTCACAAGATGTGTAGGATGGATGTTTTCTGTCTAATTCCCCGAGTAACAATTGTTTTGGTATTAATGGCAGATCCTTAAACAAATCGCAATGAAACAGTAGCGAAATTTGCCTGCTTTATCAATAGATTACAGGACCTAAAACGTAATTTCAATGGTAGACTAAAATATCAAGTGTGTTAGGAACTTTCACTTGCATACTGGTTTCACTGTCTTAGCTCTAACAACAATAGTGATAATACTTATGCAATCTGTTTAGAGAAAACAGGCCTTATTGAGTTAAACATTTATTTATTAGATTTTAATTTTTAAAGTCATAAATATTTTTTTTTACTAGATTCATGTTAAAATATGGTTTTGAATAGGACGTACTTTTTTAATATATTTTAAATCTTCAATAAACTTTTTAATATAAATTAATTTTTAAATTTAATATAGGTACTACATATAAAGTCTTTCACGAATTCTGTTGGTTATCTTGTTTTCTTTTATGGATTGAGTCTTCATTACTAAGAATATTTTGTTTAATTTCGAAGACACTATAGGTTAATCATACTCTTCTTGGCTGTTATTTAATGCAGAAATCTGTGTATCAGGTGGTTGGCATGGTTGGAGGAGTAAATATGGGCGAAGGCGTACAATATGTTCGCACACTAGACGGCACTCAATTGCAGACCACACCACAACTGATTTCTGTACCCATAACTCTTCCTGGGACTAAACCAGGTAAAATTACATATACTATCTTTTATATTAAGCACACAAACCGGCTGATTACCACTTTATAATATTATTTAAGATAGGAAATATTGTAAAATTTCAAATAAAACGAAATAAATTTGACGACAATACAATAACAATGTAATTCAAAATTCAAATTCAAAAATCATTTAATCATATAGGTAACACAATGTACACTTATGATCGTCAAAAAAAAGAAATGTACATGAAATGCGTCTAACTTTACATTTAGTTAGCCAGTTCTCAAATCAAGGGCGTAGAACAGAAGAGAAGAACTGGCAATAAACTCTCCGCCACTCTTTTTATACACTTATTCAGCTTTTATTTAATTAACTTTTCTAAGTCTGAATTGTAATCTTAGAATCACGATTTATTAACAGTAACTTATGTAGGATCATCTGTGTATGAAGTTTAATTCAAATCAGTTAAGCCAGTTTTGCAAGAACCTTAAACTTGACTTCAGTATTTGTATACACTCATTGCATATATGATGATCAATCTATGAAGTACCACTTAACCTTAATAAAGATTTTATAATCACACTTAGAAGGTTGATTGACTCAATGCAATTATTAAAAGAAATAATGTAACTTGAGGAAAATATTTTCTATTTGCAAATCATACTATATTGATTGAGAAAAGTGTTTGCATGAATCAAATTTATTTTAGGTAAAGCAAGTCATTGCCTGACGTCTCTGGCATTACATTAATATGAATATTGTGCATATAAAAAAGTCCTATTTGATGATTGCACGTTTACACACGTTTGTGTTAAATAATTAGAATGACTTAATTATTAATATTATATTCGTCTTTTTAGGTGACCCACAACCAACAGTTCAGATACAAGTATTGGCTCCGAGTTTGATACAGCAACCTCAGCCCAAATATCAAATGCAAATACCTATACAGGGTTTTCAACAAGGTAATTTCAATCAATAACTAAAAAACAACCTTTTTTATTGTATTTCAGTAGGTAAAGGGCGTCATTATTTGTCTAATTGCTCCTTTTAACTAAAGCACTCGTCGGTTTCTTTTCATCACAGCCTTAACACAATTTGACAGAAAGAGACGAAAGAGTGTAATTAAACTGAGATTTTTATTATAAATTAGGAGCCATAGTCTAAACTTTATATAACGACACTCAAGAGACTGTTCCTATTTTGACGTTACAAAGAGTTGCCGTTAAATGGAAAAAAAATCTGTACTAGAAAAATAAATTTTATTTCAGACTAGTGTTAGTAATTACATCAAAACAATTCGTATTTGTACGCTATTGAATTGTCTGTTATTTTTGTACTGTATCAGTAGTAAGGTTTTTACTTATTTAATTCATAATATCTTGTGATAATGAGGCATCTTCGTGATAAAGCACATGCAAGCATGCGCCATTTGTATAAAAAAAGAACGAAAGTTCGGTACGTATGACGAGTACCGTCAGTCGAGTTTATTTCTCGCTAGGACAATAAAGCGACAAAACAACGTACACAGCTCCGCAGTTTTAACTGATTTCGGCAACTTAAAAAGTACTTTTTAGTATTTAATTGTTGTCGTTATTAGGGGTGGGTGTAATGCCTTGTATCATTGTATGGAAGACAAGCTAAACCAACCAAAGCCGAGTGATTGCGACGCTTTAGGGGGTGTGTCGTTAAATCGATGGAAATTACATGGAGTTTACACTCCAATTCTTTTGTGAAGTCGCGAAGATTTTTTCATGGTATAGCATTATCATGATTTTTATATGTACAGTTGTTACATAATATACATTTTATGAGTTTAATAGTTAATACAATGTACAGGGGGTGCCGTTCTCACTGTGGCGTATTCACCGGAAGCGAATGATAGCGGCATACAGCTACTAGGAAACGGCATGACTGACGGTTTGTTGCAATTCACTATATGCAAATATTAGTTAATAATACTAATTGTTTAGACTTTTATGGTATGACATCGCATGTGAAAGTTGATGGTTTTTAAACAGACGAAAAACAGATTTATCGTCATGCATGCTGTATATTGAGATATAAATAAATTTCAGTTTTGAATTAATTTTAAACTAAATATTTATATAAAACCAGCTGACCCGGCAAACGTTGTTTTGCCATGTATGTAACTATCTACAGTAATAAAAAGAAGGGGTTGATCTTAGAGGGGTGCAAATTAGGGGTTGTATTTATTTTTGTATGTTGTATCATAAAAAATTTGTCTAAAAAATAAAAAAATTGTGGTGGACACCCCTTATCACTCAGGGGTTTGAAAGATAGATAGTAGCCGATTCTCAGACTTACTGAATATGCATAAAAAAATCATAAGAATCGGTCGAGCCGTTTCGCAGGGAACGAACATTGTGACACGAGAATTTTATATATTAGATTGAAATATTTTGCGCCAGTGACACATAACAAATGCACACTTATATACAAATATTTAAAGTATAAGACTGAAGTTTTAATATGATACCAGCTCAATTAGATAATTATTTTTACAAAAAAATCAACATAACAAGCAAATATATTTACTTCAAGTAAAGAATTAGTTAGTAATATAAAAACTGAAATGAAAATACACTTTTGTTGGATTACAATAATAACCTACCACATTTTAACAACTATACCTTTTTTTTTATATTTATTTTTCGGTTTTCAAGTAAAAGTGTATTTAAATGTTTCTTGATTAAATAGCAGGTTTGAACTAGGCCTATGCTTTTGACCAAATATGGTACATAATATGCTAATGTAGAGGGGATAATAATTTAAATATTATGTACTAATGATTTACTGAACTTTTTGTAAATATATAATTTTATTCCCTTGTTCAGGTACCTTCAGGATAAGACCAGGTGAATATTGTTATATTATGTATTAACATATGTGTGCGTTTTAATATTGTGCTTCATATTAACATGACTAACATTTCGCCTTACATATTTATCATATAAAGTAAAAAGATATTGTAAATAAGACATTGTGGTATTTTCAAAGTTCTCTCAAATACTACATCTTATAACATTTATTTCACTTTACTATGTCAGTGTGTAATTACACGTCATAGAGATTTAGTATTTAAAGTGGCAACACTGGAACAGAAATTTATTACCTAACACTGACTGTGACTAAAATTTCAAACTGTTGAATTTAGCATAGAGATCTGTCAAATGATTTTTTGTATATAATTTGATATATTTGTAGTTTTTGAACACAATAATTTGAATATGGTTAAAAGATTATATATTTATTTTATTACTATTACTTTCACTATTCGTTTTTTTAAATAAATATATAAGCTCCAAACGTTAGGTGAAAGTGATCCAGAGTTCAGAAATAGTAAAAACATATTTTATAAAGATTATATTTTTATTAACAAGTAATTCCTTTATTTTACTTTTCATATCAACTACCTTTAACTAAAAAACGCGTCATAAGGTTCAATTCCATGCGCAATTAATATTGCTCTTGTTTTGACATTGATAGACCTCAGTACTTTGCATTAAGTAATCACTATTATTAATTTAATATGAGATTATTGATTCCTAATAACACAACATGTATATTTCAGGCTTGCAAGTGGTTGCTGCTCTGCCACAGGACATGCAATTAATGCAAAACAATAAGGATCAAGTGCAACAAGCTTTGCAACAACAGGTAATTTTATATTATTTATTTATAGGCGAGGTTTGTTTGGCAAGAAGCGCTTTTTAGTTATTTTGCTACTAAGTATGTGCCGATAGAATTAATTAGCTGCGTCTATTTCATTGTTATATGTATAATCACAGTTTGGGGTCGTTCATAAAATACGTCACACTAAAATCAGCTTTTTTTGAACTCCCCCCCCCCTTTTGTCACGCTGTGTCACACTTTCTGTGACCCCCCCCCCCCCCCCCTAGAAATATTTCGTCACAAAAACTAAGGACCCCCCCTCTCTGCTGAGTATGATAAATTCTAAATGATAGTACACAAATTCTGAAAATTAAAAATATTTATTTAGTTATAATAAAATTTAAATAAATAAATAAATATCCTTCATAACGAACATATAAATACTAAATAATATTTCTATTATTTAGAAGTCCAAGGATTTTCCGTATAGTTGCCGTATACCCCCTATCCCCCCCTTGTCACATCTTGTCACACTCAGCCAGACCCCTCCCCTCCACTTGTATGCGATCGTATTTTATGAACGGCCCCTTTATGAATAAAAGTACTCATTCAAATAAGTGGTTTGATGATTCTCATCATGATATTACGTGAAATAAGTTTTAATCTGGGGAATAGTACTCTCCAACTTTGCACTCAAAGTGTAAACCACGAAGTCCACAATTATATTATCAGATTTCAATTACAGATGTATCTGACGCAAAACCAGCAAATTGTGATCAACAATCCAGAAGATGTGAAGCCCATCATCAACACGAGTAACAATAATAATGAAGGGGACATTGTCATCAAGGAAGAGGAATGTGATGATGTAAGTTACTTAAACACTTATTTTGTGGCCTTTGAACTTTGGCTCTGGAACACTCGATCTTCTGCTTGGTTAGAAATACTAGATTTTTTTTACATTTTCACTTAATATACAAGGACCGAGCTGTGGTCTAGTCACTCAAACATATTTCGTTAAAAAAAAAGAGTGTGTACTTATGTACACGCGTTAGAAGTTATACTTCTTTGGCGTATGGAAAAAAAAATAACTAAAATGCAGTAGTGATTAACGATGCAAATAAATTATACATACCGACAATTAACCTCAAATCTATAAATGCACTCAAAACAGTTTATTCAAATCAGTTTTATCACTAATATTCAATATATATATATAGATATACTAATAAATAATAAATTATTAGTAAATACTATCACCGTCGTATATGAAATTGATTTAATAAAAACACCAAAATAATATTTATTTATTTACACTGTTTAATTGTACTGTTACGAAACATGTGTTCTAAATATAAAAATACTAGAATATAGAACTTGAACATAGTTATTATCGATTTTCATGCCACCTAGAACTAACTTTACGATGTAGAATTTAGGTGTCGGTGTGCGCGCGCATCGTAAAAATTCACTCTCATCATTTCATTCATTTCTCCATCGCGCCAAAAGAAGTATAACTTCAAAAAACTGGTTCATTAATAAAGTCAGTTTATCTACTAGATTTATTAATTACATAAAATTAAATATATTATGTCTTTCAGGACGACTCCCAAAGCACTCAGAATAGCGATCGACCACAAGATATTTTCATGTCACATCCGGATATTGTGAAATATGTTTATTCATGTAATGTAGGCCAGGTAATTCAACATTATGTTACTATAGTAGTGAAACTATAATTAGTTTTTATAAGTTATTTGATGTATTTTTTTAAATTTGAATATGCAATTTTTTTATTTAATTTTCCAAAGATTTAAGTTTTAACATCATTGTTTTGTCTTTGTTGCCATATTTGTTATTAAATACCATTTTAGAAATAAATACTTTAAATGTTAAGTCCCATAAAGGTCCATGGTCACCAGTACAAAGTTTGTGTCGTCAATCGAAGGTTTTTCCCGGTAAATTGAACCCAATACTAATATCCTAGAAATTAAGAAAATTATGTGATGGCATTAAATTCTACGTACAAACTTACTTTTTAGATATAAAAACTTGGTAAATTCAAAATTGTTTCAACGTTAGTCTAAATGAAAAAAAAAACTTACAAAATAAATTTCAATGTGTTACATACAAATATACCATATCATACACACCACATCAGTACCACATCAATATTAAAAATTGTGGTAATTTTTGACAGCAAACACAAGGGCTGCCAGTTTCTCTACAACAATTTTTACGCCTCAATCCCACCGAAGTCAAAAAGAATGTAGAAAAAATGGAAACAGAGGTCACAATCGTCAATGAAACCATCTCTGAACCAGTTGGAAACGACGAAATCCTTTTGGAAGGTAATTTTTAATATTGTTTTACGTTAAATATAACAAGTATTTAACAAATACAGTGTACACTCTTTATAACGACATTCGTACACCTCTATATAACCTAAAAATGAGATAAAACTCAATACCGTATAAAATTGCCTTGAAATTCGTTATAAAGAGTTTACATTGTATTGTAATATATGAGAAAAAGGAATAATAATTATTAAATATAAGTAAATACATTTAAAGTTAAAGTATGATCTCGAAGAAATTTGTCGTTATTTAAAGAAATTCTAGTAGTTTTCAGTATATTTGTCAGTACTTAAAACAATACTTTAACTAGAAATTCGAATTAGAATACAAAATCTTTGAAAATTATTGATGTGTAATAAAACTGAATTGCACAAACTTACGGGCTAAAAGAGCTGCCTTTATAGTAAAATCCATGGTAATAATAATTTCAGATACTCGTACAAAGAAAAAGAAGAAATACAAGAAAAAGCCAACCCGTCCCGCTAGGCCAAAGCCCGGTCAGGTCATAATCGCGACGGCTGCGGACGGGTCACCCATCTATTGTTGCCCCGAGTGTCAGAATGCTTACCCTGAGAAGGAGCAACTTGAGATGCACTTAAGTACCCACCAGATTGAACGGCGGTTTATTTGCGGGATATGTGGAGCTGGGTATGTATTTGACTTGGGTAAAACTTGCTGAGTTTCTTGCCCGTTCTTCTCAGAACAAGGCCTCCTGGTAGTTTTGCGAACGGATGGCGTAGTCTTGCTCTTTCGCGAATTTTGTAAACGTTTTTGACATTCATAAGCATGGCCTAAGACGCATCTAAATTGAATAAACGTATTTTGATTTTTATTCTTATATTGCTTAATTTTGTATGTTTATGCTTCGTTATTTGTTCACATCGTTATTTGGAGTTTTGGAGTACCAGTACGGGCCCTGTTACCAAAATATTAATAATTTTTTCAGGTTGAAGCGAAAAGAACACTTGGAGCGTCATAAACTTGGCCACAATCCCGAAAGACCTTACGTGTGCGGCGTTTGTGGGAAAGGCTTCAAAAGAAGGGAACATCTGAATCTGCATGTGGTCATTCATTCGGGAGTCAAGAGCGAACGCTGTGGGGAATGTGGGAAAGGTTGGTAAAGTTGTATAATCTATAATAGTTTAATAACATTTTTGTTAAAATTTTGTCTATGTTTTCTGTTAATAAATACAGAAATAGTTACACAGGGACATTGCACCTTGTGGATTTGTGGTTTCGTTTGTTATGCGCAATGATTTCTTTATAAATAATATTTACTAATAATTATTCATTTCCTCGTACATTTAACTGGCATTCAATGTAACACCGAAACAATAATTTTAATTGGTTGTTCGTCAATTAATATTTATAATAGCATAAATGCTATGCTTAGAAGATAGAAGTAACATTTTAAAATTTTATTTTTTTTATCCTCGAGGGTTATTCTGTTTGTATGTGATTATCTGTGGATGGTAGCACTTAAACGACTGTTCGTAACCCGGTGCTATTAAAGAAGAAAAAAAAGTTGATCTAGATGGTTGAATTAAATATTTTTTAATATAATATTTTCGTAAGCAGTACCTAATTAGGTTATTTGTTTAGGATTCTACCGCAAAGATCACCTTCGCAAACATACGCGTTCTCACGAAACCAAACGTGCAAAAGACGAGGCCAAAGAGGAAGGCAATAGTGAATTGTTTGAATATGAAGTCAAACAGAAAGCCGTCAGTGTCAGTCCCGGAAACGGAAATACGATACTGCCTGAGATTACTATACATGTGAGTGATCCATGCTTTGTTTATGGAATAATTTTAAAATTAAAATTAATTTGGTAACTAGGAAATTGTTTTTAAGGAATTTTTTTTTAAAGAAAGAACATTGTATAAAACACTTGGTTTTAGATGCCACAGAAAGTATATCAATAAATAAAAATATATAAATAATCAATAAAAACTATTCACAGAGCATGAAAAAGGGTGTTTTTAAAAGTAGTTTTACGTTATTTAACAGTTAATACGCACTTTTCTTTAATAATGAACTAACGAGACTATATTTAAATATTTCGTCGTTATAGTTTTTCTTTGTTTAACTGGAACACCTTTATAAGAGGATTTTGATATTACTTAGGTACCGACAAGTGAGAACATGCAAACGCCCGTACAAATTAACATACCCCAGCATGTGATGTCGTCTCTGGCTGCGGCCCAGAGATCCGGAGGCAATGGGGCAAGTGGGATTGGTGGAAACAGTTCCAATGTGAACAATGGTCCAATATGCACAGAGGCCCAATTAGACGCCATATTGGCCCAGCATACGTGACATGAGACTGGTATGTCATATTTAATTAATATTTTACACGCCACAATTGTCAAACTTTCGCGTCGATATAATTTGCTATAGTTGAAGGGAAAAAGGCTTTCTATTACCTAAAAATATATTTTATAAACCTTAACGTGTCCGATTCATGAGATGTTTTAGAATCAACAGTGCGTTAAGAATATATTTTTTGTCAAAGGAAATAATAACACCTCCTGATAGGTCCTGGTTCCTTCAATACTAGAAATGTTTTATTTGAGATCAAATTTGACTTAATGTAAACTAATTCCTATATTAATAAAAATAATTGTAAATAGGTTTCCGGTTATTAAAATTATCATGAGAAATCATTGTAAAGCCATATCAAAAATATTGTATTTTTCGCAATTAATGCATGTGTATGAAACTACCCTTATAGCAATAAAATGAGCCTAATGAACTTTAATCATATCGGTTCGCACAAGATTTGCTTTTGACAATTCTATGACTTAAAATTTATTTATTAACTTTTCAGATAAAGAAAGTGACTCCGACGTCAGCGAGTGAGTGACGTAGTACCTGTGAAGCGTTTCCATGGAAACGCTATTTAGATAAGTCACAATCTGCGGATGTAGAAAAAACAGGGCTATTAAAGCTTTTTCTGAACTGGACGGATAATTTCTAGCAATTGTAGTTACAGAATAAAATTATGTTCGACTTTTTTAACTATAAGCCATCATAAGTTTACTATAAACATTCATTAGTTATTGATTGTTTAGTCCTTACTTTGCTTAAATTGTTATAAGATTCAACTAATTGACGCTTATAGTACGTTTCTGACTTCTTAAAAATTATAGAATCATCACAGTTTAGTTATAACATTCTTATATTTTTTTAACCCAGTGTTACGTTTGCAGAATTTGTAATATAAGATGAAATAAATACTCCACTTTAGGTTATTTCTAATTAAGGTAAATCGTGATTTTATAATGTACATTTAGGTAAGGAAAATGAAAGCTGTTGACGTACTAGACGCGTTATTTTCCGAATTTCAAACACCTTATTTAAAGGTTTTGATTGAGGTTAAGTTATACCTTCCTAGTAGTTCCTTGTGTGTTTATAATATTTTGGCACAAAAAGCTATAACTGACTCAAACAGAAACAATTTTTGTTCGTGAGTTGGTAATACTTCGCCTGACCTATGCTAAGTGTGCGATTAAGAGACGAGACTGCGCTACGAATGACTCTGCAGTGAATTTCTCAACGTACGTATATGAGGACGTATACGCGTCTGGTACGTCACGCTATGAGCAAGAAATATCACAGTATCACTTGCATTTTCGGTTTTCACAAACTTTTAAACCATTTATGCACCAAATAAAAGTTTAAATGAGATTGACAACAACTATACAAAGGATATATACTTACCATTACCAACTTGGCTACTCTGAAGATATGATGCCAATCGAGACAAATAATATTTGATTGAAAATATTTCTCTTGTGCTTGTTTGGTCCAGAACAAATGCTTATTCCTTTATATTTAGCAGGCCTTTGGCGTTCTAAGTTAATTCCCTTTGTTGATACGTGGCGTTGCTAAAGTAGTACATACAATATTTTAAATAAATCATATCGTGTTAAATTAATTGTGCATAAAAAAGCTTTTATGTATCTTATACATTCTCCGTCCATTTGTATTTTTTATTTGACAGTCCCCCTTCTCTACAGTATTCAAGAACAAAGAGATTTTTAATTAAGATAATATATTAAATATCTCGGGCGGTTTATAAATACACGTAAGTGACGTATTTTCTGGGTGCCATTCAAAATATCGCCTTTAAACCGGTTCCAATGCAGTTATTTCGGTTTTTTTTTTAGTTTTTATGTAATATTGAGTGAACTTGTAAAAACTACTATTATATTGTTTTGTTTTCATTGGCGTTCTCTAAGCTAAAAATGGCGAACTCTTGCCGCAATTAGTGCTAGATCGCAGTTGTGAAATTGACTTTTGTCCTAGATTTCGCATTCGTGTACCGCTACAAACTTATCTCTCACGGTGGTTGAACTAAAGTTTTTTCAATACGTCGGCGCACCCACACGCTATCGAAAGAGATATGATTGTAGGTGGAGACAAAAATAGCTTGCCTAAAGATTTTCCGATCGGAAAGTGCATGCCATTCGTAAATCAATCATAGTTATATTTTCACATGTGTGAAAATTGGTTGCATTCATCACAATCAGCTTTAACATATTTAAATATATTTTTGTACTTAAGTTTGCATGAAACTGTTGCTTAGATAACCACCAAGGTGCTCTAATGTACTGAATATTTTCGTTTGTAAGTTGTAAATTTTTAGTATATTTAGTGATTCCATTAGACCTAATTTCATATTTGAGTTTTTTAGAAAATTGTCTAAATCGAATATTTTTTGTACCTTTTTACCAGTTAAGAGTATACTTTAAATCATGTAGTTAAAAGTATTATAAATGCTAAGGTGCGATGAACTTTAGTTGATCCCTTTGTACTTTTTGTATGAAACTTATTTATTAATGAGAATCAAGAATAAAGTTGCTGATTTTGTAACTGTTTTTTTATTACACATACCTTCTATCTTAATACTCTGAAGTTTTTAATCATGCCCGTGTATATTATCTTAAAAACAATATCAGTTTACAAATACCATTTTTAAAACTAGCTGTGTTACTCATTTCTTCAGGACGATAGAGATAAAGTACACGAGTGTGCGAGAAAGTGATGGCTGGAATGTAAGACAGTGTCGCAACCTCGTCTATAGAAGTTAAGGGTGGACATTCCCATCCCCTCAACCATTCATTGAGTTAAAGGTAAATTAAACCCCACACACGTTGTCGTTGGGTGGCAGCCCCTCGCCTAGTGGCTTAACCGTCCTACACGCATGCCTACTCACTTGCGCATCATATCTGCGCACCCCGCCATTCCGATTCCTCTATATTTCACCTACGTTCGACTATTAAAACTATGTGAAAATCCTCAACGGAGTCCCAAACAAGGTAAGCGTTCCATTATAGTAAAAAAATAACCCTCAAATCGGCACCGCTCGCCTGGGGCGTTGTGGGGCTGAATGATGGTGTGGGAGCGCGTAAAAATAAAGCGTTTGGAAATGCGATTGGGGTGAGGCAGAATGGCGGGGGTTGATCGCCCTATGGGGCAACACCCTTCATAAGTTACCTTGCACGCTGCGTTTACGATGGCCGTGTTTTCAGATGAATTTCGCTCCGTTCACGGGGCACATTCCGTCGGGTACGGGATTGCCGACCATACAACAGTTTGCTGCAAAGTTCGGCTACGAGGGTGGGGGAAGTGTGGTTAACAGTGGGAGTATGGTGCAGGAAAGAAGTTATCAGGCTCCCGGCGTTCAGTTCACTGTATCTCCTGGTGGGGCCGTAGCTGTGGACGGAATGAAGTTCCGACAAGGAGAAAGTGTGGTCGTCATGAGCAACCCACAACCGGGAGCCGTCACACTTGCTGGGATCGGAACTATGCCGACTGGTACGCTATTATTTACATTTGAAATTGTTAGTGTCTATATGACAGAAAAAGATGTGATACTATGTTTTTGTCATAAATATCATCTTAAAGCTATACCTAATATCGGTATACACATTTCATTTTCGGTTAGTGCTCTTGACTGACGCACTTTACCGTAATTGGCATTCATCCCGTAAAATATTTAATTGTCTATGACATCTAATGTCTAATTATAACAACTTTTAAATTGAGATAGGCCAAACAATCCTTACAAAAACTATAATCCGCTCCCGTCTACGACGCATATTTATCTGAATCTCTACAAGGTAATCTTAAATAGGTTTTACCGAATCAAATACTGTTCAGCTCGTGTTCAATAACAGGTGTAAAATACCAAACCATACCTTCGTCATCAACAGTTAACGTCGGAAATATTGCTTACACCGGGCAGTATATTACTGAAGAACACCTTAAAGAGAGAGACAAACGGGAATATCGTGAGGAGTTGCAGCAAGATATCATGGCTACTATGATGCAACAGCAGCAAGGTCTGATTTTTATTACGTAATTTTACGTTCATATTTAAGTATGCAATTGTTTATCTCAGTTACCGTCACAGAAATTGGCATAAGCAGTTAGACATCCGGAAATCATTTATTAGTTACTAAAAGGTTGTTCCTATTAAAAATGTATGTGCAAAATTATTCTTTGTATACATTTTCTTCGTTATCTAGTCTAGAATTTCGAATCATTACTCCAACAGTATGGGGTCGGCAAACCAACTATCTTATACTAAGCTCTTTTGTTTATCGAATCATTTGACTCATTTGAATAACCATTAAAACAACCTATATTTTTTAAATAATCGGATTAAATATCAAAAATATATTTCAAAGTATTATTTATTTTAATAAATTTATATTGTATAATTGAATGAACTAAACATTATAGTAACCCAAGCACCGCTCCAGCAAGGAACTCAGCAGCTCCTCGTTGTTCTGCATGAGCCAAAAGAGGCAGCCGCCCTCGCCCGCGCACTTAAGCAGGATGTTCGCCAAGATCGGACTGTTTCTGCTGCTCCAGCTGAGTTTATCAGTAAGTTTATGAGGACATGATTTTTTTAGTAATTACAAAAGTGGCTGTATACATATATTATACCTACAGTGGTGAACTCGTGCAATAGACAAATTTTAATATTATATGATTAAACAATTATTTTTTTGGAATTGTAAATATATTATTTTTATTTTATATTATATCTTAGCATTAATTGTGATTCATGAGTTTTTAGTTTGTTTTTATTTTATTTTAGATCATAGTTTTGTATTTGTATAAAACTATACATATTTTTATTTTTGTTAATTTAGTTATGCACTTTTTGCATTTTCTTTTTGCTAGGGTTATCTGGAGGCTAGAATAGATCGCTTGTTAGCGAGAAGGCCGCCTTTTCCCTCCTTATTAATTCATGTTTTCTGATTGTGTAATATGTACTATAGTTGCAACAAAATTGTAATAAATAAATCTAAATATATAAATGAATTGCTTTTCGTTTGTCGCGCTAAAACTCGAGAATGGCTGGACCGATTTTTCTAATTATGTTCTTGCAATATTTGTGGAACTTTAGGGAAGGTTTTAAAAGGGTAGCATAAATAATAAGTAAAGAATAATACTAAAAACGACGATTAAATTTTCCAATAAAAATGTTCCTACCTAGCAAATATTTAACTTTGTCTTTTGTCTTTTTGGAAATAAAAAATTGTCACTTTGTTGTCTTATGTATTCCTTCACAAATTTGGGTTTCATAGCTATAGTCCGATCTCTTTGGTATGTTTTAAAAATGTTGTATTAAGTAACATCAACGAAAATATATGTAGGTGATTCGAAGTTCACCTTTTTATCTAGCAAATTAATCAATAATTATCAACACTTCAAATAGATTTGCAAGAAAGAGTTGAGTAACGTTTAATTGGCACTATATTGTGTCATAAGAGTATTTCTTCGTCTTTGTTGCCGGCCAAGAATTGTATTATTTTTCCAGGAAACATTTGGTTTTAAATTATAGCTTTAATAATTAAAATCTGTAGATTACAGGCCTAAACATAATCTTGAAAAATAATAAAATCAATATATAGCGATCATTATTTTTAGGTATCAGCGATATGTCAGATGGAACCTGGCAAACAATAGGAAGTGGAGTGGCGGACTACTTAGCAGCTTTACCTCTGCCATTGCATCATCTACTAAAGTACTCTACACCTGATAAGAGAGATGAAACAAACATCGTAGCTACTGCGACTGCTCCTACTATTGCCACTTTGTCACAGGTCAGGTCTTTACAAAGCTGTCATTTCTGTAGTGGAACTTTTTAGCTCTTACTACTAACGTGACCATTTGACAATGTGACTTATTAACTAACGTCCAAAAACAAAATACAAACGTTTTTAATTTTTTTTAATAAATAATTATTTTTTAAAAATGGCAAAACGTACTATGTATGATAATTTCGTTTGTCAACAAACTAAAATAATTGAGGTTTGCCTTATAATGATGATATATTAAGATAGCGGATAGTACGCAACGTATATATCATGCATGCATCTATGCTTTTATGGTAATAATATTGGTGGTATGGATTATATATTTCAGATCGCTCCAAATAATGAGCACAGCGTGGTTGTACAGAATACAAATATAGTTCACACTGTGACCACGCACACGCAAGGAACGAATACGGTCGATTCCAACTCACTCTACTACAGTAACGGAAGAAAGAAGAAAAAAAAGAAAGATATTCAAGTTAAGAAGCCCAGACCGAAGCCTGGGGAGATACGGATAACGACCGCTCTAGGTAAACTAAATCCTCGAGAGAGAGAGAGAGAGAGAGAGAGAGAGTAAATGAAGTAAATTATTTCTGACATAAATTGATTTCCCACAAACGTTTTTATTTTCACCTGTTATTTCTTTTGCTTCACAAGAGCGATTTGTTGATATTGTGATTAAAGCTTATGTCCATCACTTAATAAAAATTACGTTTAAGATATAAGACATTTAAACATAGACAAATCTAAACTAATGTAAGAGCGGCTCACAACAGTAAGATAATTAGTAAGTTAAAATGGTTGATGAATCTATTTTACCGAAGTTTCTTAATACTTAATTATTACTATGTATTAGTTCCAACTTTGTTTGTATTGGTAAAAGGATAATTGTTTCTAGATGGCAGCACGCTGTATTGCTGCCCGGAGTGTCACATGGCGTACCCTGAACGAGACCTCGTTGATCAACACCTTGTGGGACATACTATGGAGAGAAAGTAATTTATATTTTGTTATTTACAAGCGATTGCTGTTCACATTGTATAAAATAATGTAATTTGTCAATTATTTAGCATCATAAAGTGCTTAAATATAATCAATCAACTATCAAGTCAATTGAAACCATATGGCAAAGTCAAAAGTTGCATTTGTCAGTACAGTATATTATTTAGTAGCAAAAGTCTCTAACCCTCAGATTAAGAGTCGAGATCTATATGCACTTGGACTTTGCTCAGACTACCTTACGAAAAACTTTGCTTGTGTACACTAAGGTTAAACTATGATTTCGATTATAGACATTTTAACGGTGAGATTAAGCTAAGCCCAAGCTAAGACAGAAAATGTCAAAATACAAATTGATGTTTCATTTCATGCAATACTTTGTTTATTATCCTTTAAAAAAAGTAAACAATAACAAATATTTAAACATCTAAAACGGTACACATATATCTTCAATTTATTGTTATTTATGTATTCATTTATTTTATTATTGCAATAACTAGAAATTTACGAGTAACCTTTAGAAAATGTATTAATTATTTAAAGATGACAATAATTTTATTACGTAGAACGGATCGCAATGTTTTGACAACAGCAACAAAGCACTTGTATCAACAATTGAAAATTTTAAACCACTTTTTCTCTTTTCTGTTCTGTTTGTATGAGCTTATAAATATTAAATTTAACTTTCTTCAAAACAACGACTGGCTTTGTGACTTGGACCTGGACCAATCTGGATCGTATACCTACTTAACTCCTACGCATTCCCGAAGCACTGTGACGTTTTGTGATTTGGCTTTGTTACATGGACCGCTTGGAAATATCAATATCGAAAGTGACATGATGGAGAGAGAGAGTTCTATCTTCAATAGAAAACATTGAAAGGGTAGGAACTGCAGCCGATATGAATCCACGAATGCCTAAAGTATATGTTCGGAACTGGATGTTTTCAGGTAATATTGTGTTCATAAATATGTATGGTTTTTCAATTTGATATATTATACCTCTTCTCAAATGATTTTAAATACACTTTAGTCTTCTGACTTTCAGAAACATAACATATATGTGACTAATAATAATTTATTGACATTACAGATGGTGTGTGGTGATCTGAACAGCATAAGCCAATCTACCGTCTGTTTAATTATAAATAAAGTCTCTGCAGAGTTGAGTAAATTACTTCCTAGATTTGTAAATTTTCTAAGAAATATGAACACAGCCAAAACGAAGTTTGAAGAATTAGGAAGATCTAATACTCACCATGGCCTAAACAGTATAATCGGAGCTATTGACTGCACCCATATAAAAATTAATAGACCCGAAGGTATCGCTCACTCTGAAGCATACAGAAATAAAAAAGGGTATTTTTCTGTAAATGTGCAAGCAATAATAGGGCCTGATATGGAAATATTTGCTATAGTGACTAGGTGGCCTGGCAGTTCTCACGACAGCAGGATATTTAGAAAATGCCTGTTTTAGTAGGTGACAGCGGTTATCCAGCACTTAACTTCATGTTAACAACACTTTTAAATCCAATGACAAGAGCTGACAATATTTATAATTATTCTCAAATAAGAACTAGGCATATTTTTTAAAGGTTTTTCGGAGTGTGAAAAAGGAAATTTCCATGTTTACAGCTAGGACTACAGTCTAAATTGACAAATACTAGTTATATATAATTATAGCTTGTGCTGTATTGCATAATATAGGTATACAGAGAGGCGATGCTTATGATGATGGTGATCTTGCTGACAGCAGAAGTTGAGTAACACAGAAACAATGAAAGATCTCCTACAGGTCTAGCATTCCGGCAATCTGTGATTGCACAATTTAACTAGGTAATTTGTTTGGTAATAAAGAATATCAAAACAAAACTTGTTTCATTTTAATCATTTATTTTCTGATTCTTTTTTTAAGTGTAATACATATTTCTAATACTAATTTATATTTTTGTTGAAGAAATTCTATTTCTAACAGATTTTTTAATTTCATATGTTCCACTCCTATCTCAAATTTTTTAGGGTAGTCAGGTAATAAATGGTAGAAGATTCAGGGAAACGAAAATAACAGATGTGAAGCGAGAACATCGGTTAGGTTTGGTTTGAATTTCGTTGTCACTATAATATGACAGGGCTGCCAGGTGACATACAAAATCACACCAGTTATTTTTAAGATTTCTCAAAAATGGGGTTTGAACAATTACATAAATAATATAAATAAACAACAATAAATACCATAATAATGTGTAATTATTTTATTTCATGCATTTCATAGGTATTTATCAAGATCATTTATAATTTCTTTGAATTCAAATTCTATTTTTCCCAAAGTCTATGGAACTCCGATACAAAATGGCAACACCGTTCATTAAAAACCGACAAAAATAAAAAGTCCAGTAAAAGATATGATGGTAAAGCAAATTTTGGGCCATTATTTTTGTTAGGCTTATAGTCAAAGTTTTTGGTAAGTCGTCGATTTCGTGGACTTGAGATTAAGCTAAGCCAACACTAGGGAGAGATTCGCAGTTTGCTCTATAAATACCGACTGTGTCTTAGCTCGATAGTTAAGTCAGAGCAAAGTCTAAGGGTGAGATCTATAGTGCGCACTTGGACTTTGCTCAGACTTACCTTACGAAAAACTTTGCTTAGTGTACACTAAGGTTAAACTATGATTTCGTATTTATAGACATTTTAACGGTGAGATTAAGCTAAGCCCAAGCTAAGACAGAAAATGTCAAAATACAAATTGATGTTTCATTTCATGCAATACTTTGTTTATTATCCTTTAAAAAAAGTTAACAATAACAAATATTTAAAAATCTAAAACGGTACACATATATCTTCAATTTATTGTTATTTATGTATTCATTTATTTTATTATTGCAATAACTAGAAATTCACGAGTAACCTTTAGAAAATGTATTAATTATTTAAAGATGACAATAATTTTATTACGTAGAACGGATCGCAATGTTTTGGTTAGGTTATAGTTTGAATTTCGTTGTCACTATAATATGCCAATTGCCAGGGCTGCAGGTGACATACAAAATCACACCAGTTATTTTTAAGATTTCTCAAAAATGGGGTTTGAACAATTACATAAATAATATAAATAAACAACAATAAATACCATAATAATGTGTAATTATTTTATTTCATGCATTTCATAGGTATTTATCAAGATCATTTATAATTTCTTTGAATTCAAATTCTATTTTTCCCAAAGTCTATGGAACTCCGATACAAAATGGCAACACCGTTCATTAAAAACCGACAAAAATAAAAAGTCCAGTAAAAGATATGATGGTAAAGCAAATTTTGGGCCATTATTTTTGTTAGGCTTATAGTCAAAGTTTTTGGTAAGTCGTCGATTTCGTGGACTTGAGATTAAGCTAAGCCAACACTAGGGAGAGATTCGTAGTTTGCTCTATAAATACCGACTGTGTCTTAGCTCGATAGTTAAGTCAGAGCAAAGTCTAAGTGCGCACTATAGATCTCACCCTAAGTGCGCACTATAGATCTCACCCTAAGAGTCGAGAGTTGGCGCTAAAAATTAACTGTCAAATCCAATACGTTTTTCATATACCGGAGTCATACTTACCGATAAGTCTTGACTGTGAATCTTACCTTAGAAACTATTTTTTTGCCAAATTAAAAGCTTCATACCTAGATTTTTGTTTTAAGGTTTATCTGTGACATTTGCAACGCGGCACTAAAACGCAAGGATCATTTAACGCGCCACAAGCAATCTCACAACGCGGAGAGGCCTCACGTCTGCTCGGTTTGTCTGAAGGCCTTCAAACGGAAAGAACAGCTGACTCTACACTTCATCATACATTCAGGCGAAAAACGACACATCTGCAACGAATGTGGGAAAGGTATTAACAACACAATTCAGTTATGGTATTCTATAAGGACATGTGTAAAGTCCTTGTGTGAAAATCCCACTGTAATGTCAGTGCATGCTCCGATTTTATAAAGTTTGCTGCTGATAGAGGCTAAAGTTTTGTTTATTATAATCAATTGCTTCAATATGTCATAAAGCAGTCGAATGTATATTTAGAAGTATTTTTTTTTGAAGCGTCAACACATTACGCATAGCAAGGCAATTGGACGTATCAAAATTAATCGTCATTTTAATTCTTGTCAATTAAAATCTGCCTATTGAGTCCTAAGGTTGACTTAATCTAGCAAATTTGGAGTAAAATTTGAGCCTAATCAGATTTCTGGAATGTTGATCAAATTAAGTCTAGATTCACAAGCTGTCAAAACAATATTTTTATGAAGTTTGTATTCAGTTTTTGTTCAGCAACAAAGCAACTTCCTTTTTTAAATTTATACAATATAATCGGAATAAATAGTCCTATAATATTTACAATTTTTTACCTAAATTTATCTTGTTATTTTAAAGATGTTTACTAGGTCACAAAACATTTAAATTATATTTTACAGGTTTCTACCGTAAGGACCACTTACGAAAACACACGCGTTCACACATCGCTCGCCGAGTAAAGGCGGAGTTATCACAAGAAACAACCACGCCACCTCTCTCACAGGTTAATAAAAATCTCTAGTATGTAGAGACTATTTATATAAAATAGATCAGCCTAATTGTATTTTGTACTAAAGTACTCTTTCGTCGCTTGCTACCAAAATATGTTTACGCTGTGGTGAAGAGACAAAAGTTTATTTAGGTGAATAGATTCAGTAATCGTCGATTAAGGTATAAAACATAGGTTTCCTTACAATTACTACTATTATATTTTATATTACTAATAATATATATTACTACGTGAACCGCGATCAATTGCTCACAGAAAGATTCCAGAAAATTATCGGTTAAGAGCTAACGAAATATTAATTTAAAATTAAATATAGCAACATTTTTCACTTAACTACTTGGCAAACATTGTTGTATATTTGTTTGCTGTTATGTTTATCAATGCTTAGAAATATATGTACTTAATGTATTTTTTAATGTTTCATAGGTTGCGCCGGCGCCTCCTTTAGAGCCGTCTTGACAAGGTGCTATAGACGACTTCTGAAAATCATAATTATTATTAAACAGCAAAAACATTGCTATTGCAACAACAGAGGTCTGAAGCGCCTAACCCTACTAATACTTATGTAGTATTTGAATAGGCGTGCGACCTAAAATTAATAATATTAACTGACTTATAATTATAATTAATAGTTCTAATTCTGATGTACAAGGACTAATCTAAACCAGCGTCGTAAAAAGTACAGGAAATAAGCTGTAGGCTTATGACGTAACTTTAATAGAAATTATTTAAAATTTTGAAATTCACGTTTGACTGAAGACATCAACGAATTTATTATTAGATGATGTCAAAAATCATTAAAATTATTTGAGATGGACGGTATCGGTCGAGTTTTACGGAATAACCCTACTGGTCGGAATAACCCAAACCATTTCGTTTAAACATGTCGCAGCCAACGAGTTTAATTAGCCGTTCAATTAACAGCCTAGCCTTTTCACTAAACGTCGCCGTTTAACTAGCGGCCTGCAAGATATTCAGCCGTAGCGTTTATTACAACGTTTAATAAACTGTCTGGATAATGCTTAGACCATTCGTACGATAGAGTCATAATTTGGCAGAAATAAAAAAGATGAAACATTTGACATAAAAATATATCTTTTAAAATTAAATTGCTTGAGTCAAATTCACATTATTATTGTCACTACACTCTTCCATTGCACTTGTTGTTTTTCATGAAACTTTGGAAAACACCATCAAAGTTGTGGTTTGCCGACGCCATATTGACAGTTTGAAGTTTTGTTTCGAGTTTGAGAGTGGCAGAAAGTGGAATTAAATAAAATATACAGTAACAGGCCAGGCAAGTAATGAAACGTTATCGAACCAAGTCATTTGCCTAGCTGTTTGATCAACTGGCTGAACATCTTTCAGGCCGCTAGTTAAACAGCGTCGTTTAGTTAAACGGCTAGGCTGTTAATTGAACGGCTAATTAAGCCAGTTGGCTGCGACATACACATAAAATAATCAAAGAAAGTTCTAGACTAATTTGAGAAACTGTACATCCGAATTAGAACAACATTCTATAGTGCGTGTAAGTTACGCTTAAATGTAGCAAAACAGACCAAATTCAAAATTGTCTTAACTTTTAAAGTTTAAAAATGTTATTAAATTGTTATTTTTGTTGATGTTTAGGAAAATTAATTAAATATTTGGTGAACAATATTGTTTATGATCATTAAAATATGCAATGATCAGATAATTCATTATCATATATGAATAATCAGAATTTAGTACAAAATGTTAGATATATGCGCCATTTACCAAGTTGTTGAACAAATTTGAACGCCTTAATAATTTTTCTAGCAACGGCTTTGGTATAATATAATTCTTTTCTTGCCAAAAAAATTGTGGTTATAGAACCCTGATCCATAAATTTACTACAAACCTCAAATAGCTAAAGAATGTTTGTCCTAATCTCGTGTCACTTGGTAAATCAATAATTCTTTAACTAATTGAGGTTCATAAATTCATTATTAGAATGTAGTATATTTATATTAACATCTAATAATTTAAATTACTAATTTGTTGTAGAAAATTAGCTGCAATATATACTTATAACATATCTAGTGTTATTACGAATTAAATAAATATTATTCAAGTATGACTTGTTTTTTTTCCATAGCATAGTGACAAGGATTCTTCACTTAAAATTCAGTTTAAATTTTTCCTGCAAATCCGTACTCAAAGAACTAAGATTACCTATTTGCGAGTTTTAATTTTGATTAATGTTTTTTAGAGCAAAGAATTAGCTTTCTGATCTTACTAACCCTTAGCAATTATATTTTCTACTTAAAATTAAATCCTGAGCGTGCGACAGTTAGGTTTATTGTGATTACATTTAAAATCATGATTAAAACATACGAGTTGAGTTATAGGGGATTGAAATAAGAGTATAGTATAAGATCCCGATATACAACGACCTTCACCGAGATGCTTATTTAATGAAACGTATTTTATATTTAATTTAATATGTCAATAAATATAATCCATATGGGTTGCCTAGCAAATTTCAGTCCAGAGTATGTTTAATTAATATTTAAAAAAAAATATTTTTTTTATAATTTGCATGTAGGAATTTTTTTCATTTTTTTTCAATAAATATTTTTAATCAGGGTAGTATTATATATGTATCACTATAACCTTCTTTTTACTAAAGATGTATATATACTTGTGTCACATAAAAAATATACACATAAATAATTAATTGATTAAAAACAACCTAACGTTTGCATATTCTATGGGCTTCATACTTTCGATTGGTATAGAATTTATCTAATAATCATACCGGTGAAATGTTAAAAAAAATATTTTTGAAGTTATACTTCTTTAGGCGCATTATGAAAAATTTATGAGAGTGAAATTTTACGATGCGCGCGCACCTGTGACACAAAATTGGGAGTGTGATTATAGCGTGCGCGAGCGAGATAGGAATAAGACAATCTACAAGTTAAAAGAAATAGAATATGCGTGAAGTTCGTATGCCAAGAATGCATGCCAGTCTTTGATTATTTAATTGTAATTAATTATTTGCATGCAATCAAAAACTATTTTTAATAATGCCAAAGAAGTATAACTTCTTACGCGCGTACATAAGTACACGCACCCTTTTTTTTTAAATATTAATAAAACATACTCTGGACTGAAATTTGCTAGGCAACCCATATGGATTATATTTATTGACATATTACATTAAATATAAAATACGTTTCATTAAATAAGCATCTCGGTGAAGGTCGGTGTATATCGGGATCTTAGACCAGTATGATAGTTCCGTATTAACTCGTCAATCAAACAATTTTTAACTCTATATATATATATATATATCCCAATCAAAAAAGTCCAGCAAATAGTAAATTTTCAAGTATACTTCTAGTGGCATACGTTTTCGCTAAGATGTACCGTTTCGCTGAAAAACGAAAATAAAACTTGGCTCTTATATATATCATGATTTTTATTTAAATAAAAATATATTACAATAAAACGTATGAGCGAGCATTAAACTATCTTAGACTTACATAAAATATAAAAATTTTCATAATCTTATTAAGAAAACGTTATGTACAGAGAATTATTTAAAAACATGTTAAATTGCAAGGCATTTTAATCTACCACTTGTCAATAAACAATGCATGGTATTACTTTAAAGATACTTAACCTCTTGGTCACCTAAAATTGTGTACACCTCGGCAATGTGTAATTATAATATAGTAAGTCAGCCAAATATAAAAAAACGCAGTAGTTTCAGCGCGTCGTGTACGTGTACGCTTTCGAATAATATTCGTATAGTCTATAGCAAATAGAAAATGTCTTTTGTACAGAAAACAACGTTATATCGAGTATACTTGATTCGACAACGAAACTATAGAAAATTCGTTAAATTCGAATATGATTCGTAACGTTAACCACTATATAAAACCAATCGTATAACTTCATAGTAGCTTCTAAAATATAAATCAGTCTTATAACACTTTTAACTACCTGATGTAGTTAAATCAATGTAATAAGACTTAATTAAATACACAAACAAATCCAAACTTACAAAAAGGTCTCGTGTTTGTGATTGCGAAACATGGGATGGTTCTAATAATTATCAAAATGTGAAGATTGTGTTTTCGTGACCGGATTCTAAAATTAATATTTTGTTAACCGTTTGACCATTTCATGAAATGATCTCTGATTGATCATCGTTTAATGACATAAACAACAAAAGCATGGCCACTAGTTAGTGAATTGTAAAATGTAGGTATAGCCTTGTTGCATAATGGCCGCATAGATTATGTCAAAACTAAAAATTTATATCAGATAATATGATTTAAATGTTAAAATAATAATTTATGATCACAATGTACATCAATATAAAAAAAACAGCAAAAATATAATTATTCAACCACGATTTTTTTATCATTTGAAGAAATTAAAAATTTTACGATCCAGCCACGAGATTCAATAGTTTTACAGAGCATTTTTAAATCAATATTTGCACCAGCTCGGAAAGTGGATCACTCAATAAATTCGTAAGTGTTAATGTGCCATACTCGCCTAAACACTGATTTAGTTTTAAAATATATTAATATGGTAGGGTGACCATCTACAAAATCAGACTTTCCCAATCATATTAGGTAAAAAAAATTAATTCAAGTTTAAATATGACGAGGTTAGCAATCTCCATTTAATCTGGTAGTATATTCTCTTCGGTGTCTACCTCTTCGGGTTCCTGAGGATGTGTGGGGTCAACCGTCACCGCCCGTTGTTCCCCATTGTCCATAGACATCACCATTTGGTATGGGACTTTTATTTGTAAGGGAACCCGAATTTTAGCTGATGAAGGTGCCTGGAACAATTTTTTTTTTTAAATATATAACAGGTATTTAATAGGCGAGAGTGGTTGTCTGGAAGAGATCGCTTGAAAGCGATAAAACCGGCTTACGGGTAAAGAGTGTAAGGCATACCTTTAAAAGGCGTTTTAAAGTAAAATAAATTGTAAATAATCCATAATTTATTATACTATAATTAAATTATAATAAAAATTTGATAATTTTCTACGTGGGTCACGTGACACCAAATTCAGAGGAATCAACGATGACGTAGCATTCCAGTAAATAATATATCTTCGTCTATCTAATACCAAATTCAAGTTTAATTTGATTTATTAATATTTTTTAAGATTACACTTAACCGAATAAAAAAACTTTTTTTATAGGTTCTATGCTCACTAATAAATCTGAAATGGTTTTTAAAATCATGTCAAATAGCCATTTGGCGGATATAATTATAAAAAAATTTAATTGTTTTAAATAATATATTGAACAGTAACTTACATGTATTGTTATCTCTGGCAAGAAGTCTTTCCTCTCTGAGATCTTTTTCGTCTCATCTTTCATGATTGCGATGGGCAAGAGATCGGGAATCTTCTTCTTGGGTCCCGGCTGTTGTCTAAGGGGCCCGTCAAATGGCGGAGGGGGTCTCAACTCTTGCGCACTTTTTTGACTCTTCGTTGGCAACTTCAATTTGCTCTTCGCGTGAACTATCATGTGCTTTTGTAAATGATCCTTGCGGTAAAAGCCTGAAACAAGGGAAGAGTATTTAAAAAAATATTTATGCGTCTGCTGAATAAGTTTTTTTGCCTATACATAACCCGAAAAAAAAAATTGATTTGCCGAGTAATCAAACCCAGACTCTCTGAAGGTAGAGTCTGGCTAATGGAAGAAGATAATTGAATTATTTGAATTCTTTCGGATGGCAACACAGAATGTAATTGAATTTCTTAGGTTAGTATGATTTATGGTCTTGATACTTCATGCAATTACTCATTTTTATTTCTATTATATATTTCTTCCGAATACTTAACAGGTATGATAGCCTAAACGAAAGTTTCATAATCAATGTGAGAGACAGTGATAACAGCAATGACTCTGATGAATCTATGCATAATGCATATTGATTTTTTGGATTCTGATTATGATTATTCCGAAATATTATTCGGATTATTTGTAAAGTTATAAATACAGTTTTAGTTTTCCATGCAATGCTAGTCATTTCAAGTATCAATCGTAAAAGACTAAATACGTTACTATCAATGTAAAAAATAATAAAATAAAATCAAAGTAAGTTTCACAATATATATATCAAACTTTTAGGGATACCATACTAAACAATTTTGAATTTGCCGCGGTTTTTCGTTATCTTAATTCACTAGCCAGACTCTATGTTCGTTTGATAGCCACTAAAAATATTCTTAAATTAATAATTTACCTTTATCACAAGTAGGACAGAAGAAGGATTTGTGTCCCGTATGTATGTGTAGGTGTATCTTGTAATGGTCCTTGCGCCGAAAAGCTTTTCCGCAGTATTTACACACGAACACACGCTGTGGACTAGGTATAACTGCCTCTTCTACTACCACCTAAAACATTATTTTATTTTAATTAACAAAAACAAATATAAAACGGAAGACGTATCCGTATTATCATGACGTATGATGTGGCGTGCGTGCACGTATTCTACTACACCTATTGACCAATCACAATCAAAGGTAAGTCTCCGTCTTTTGGTAAAAATTACTAATGATACTAGGTATAGTATGATAGGACTTTAAAAGATAGATAAGAAAAAATATAGAATGGATTTTTTTTTCGTAAAAATATGTTCTGTCTAATTATACGTTTTTACATACGTCGTTTATAAATTTACAAAAATACTTTATTTAGGCTTTGTTAAACACATTTATAATCTATCTATTCCGCTATTTCGCGTGCAAACAGAAATACGTGGTTACTTAGTAATAATTTGAGTTGTTAGCTGTGTAAAGTTTTATGACTTCCCTTAAAAACAGAATATGTAAGCAAACATTTTGCGGATTTATAGATCTAAATCGTATTATTTTTTTTTCTAAAACTCCTAAGTTTGGAAGTTAGCACCGCTTGAATACTCCTGTCTCGCTTGAGCATGTAAAGTTATATAACAAAACCAGCTCCTAAGTACAGTGTAAATTCTTTATATCGAATTTCAAGGGACCGAACATTTTTATTCGCTATAGAAAGGTATCGTTATAGAGAGGGAAGAATTAATGTATGGGTATTGGGTTAGACCAATAAATTTAACTTTTTTTTAACATATAGAGAGTTTTTGGTTATAACGAATGACGTTATAAAGAAGTTATACTGTACAAGAACACAATATAAAATTCATACCTCGAGTAAATCGTGAGGATAATTTTCTTTCCTCGCGTCTCCATTGGGCGACGTCTGTTCATATGAAGAGTGTCCGTTTTGTTCGATTTCATATTCATCATCCCCGTCTTCCGGTTCATTTTTAACAAGACCCGGACACACGTGATTCGCCTGGTCGGTGTCGTCATGGAAACCTATTAAGTTTTTAATTATCAATATGTTTATAACGCTGCTTGTACATCACACAGAGTTTTAATACTCGATGATTATTAGAACAATTGTTACGCGCGTGTTAATAAATAGAAAAACACAAAACATACTAACTAGTTCATTTGATTCAAGTAGAGATGTTATGGATATGATATTTCGGATCTGGATACGGATATGGATATAGGGATAAAATTATATCGGTTTCGGATACGGTTAAGGATATGTAATTATTTCGGATTATCCGTTAGTTTCGGATAGTTTCGGTTACGGTTATTAGATTGAAGTAAAATATAGACACACATAGTATGTAATAATTTAGCTTTATATATAGGTTTTATCCTCCTCAGTTTTATCTATAAATAAAAATGCAATAAATTTAAGAGCTGTAAAAAAAAATTTAAGCTTTACACATTGCACATATTAACTTATAACCTATGTATAACATATTAAATCTTTTCTTTTTAATTATTTTTGTGAGTAATGAAACCATTACCAAAAACCGTCGACACATGTCGTTTTTTAGTTTTAGCTCCGCCCTTTCGAAATACCGAAAGTTCTGAAATGGATACGGTTACGGATATATATTTATTTCGGATATATCCGATTGTTTCGCTTACGGTTACGGAGCTCCATAGCATCCCTGGATTCAAGTATCGTTTAATATTATTGTTTGCCTTTAATGCATTATTTTCTTTTTTAATTAACCTCATACGAAATACCCATTTAATTCCGTTTGTAAGGTTTAGTTGATTTAAAATGTTTGAATGTCATGCAAATGCAATGCATGCCTGCAAACAACTTAGTATTTTAATACTAAGTCACTAGCATCACTGGCGTCGGCAATATTGTCTGTAATGTAGGTGATATTGCAATTAGGGATTCAATTACGGAGAGTCGAACAGTGCAGTTTGATTCAAACTAAGAAGTCAGCTTAGCTTTAATGCACCTTGTACGCGTTTGTATGAAGGCGCCTATTGGCTTACGGATTGGTGGTCCGACATATTAATTTTGGACACATAGTGGAAGTAAATATGTGGTACTGTGGGGTACTGTGTGTTACTGTGTATTATTATAATATTTATTAAAGCGTAACATTTTAACACCGATAACAATTTAATTTTAAGGTTACTTTCTCATTTGTAAACCGCGCAAAAAAACAATTAGCTTTTAATACAATTGACCGACACGTGTTCTTTTCGCAAACCCATTTTTGGTTAAATGTATTATTGTACAGGATCGGGACTTGACTCAGTGTACGACGTTTCTGTTTCACAATGTTCATCATTTCACTACAATCTACCGAATAATAATACGTTAAATTGTAAGCAGTAAGTTGAGTTGACAATCTTTCGACAGTTTACAATCTCGCGAGATAGATTACAATCTAACGGTGTTTACAATTTTACGGTGACATATACATTATACATATTATGTATGGCCATTATGCATTAGTAAAATAAAGCTACACCAGTGCCTCTAGCGGTGAATATTGTAACTATTTAACGACTGGATCACTAGCCAATCGTCTATAGCCAACAAATAAGAGGGCTATGCTTAAGCTTAAGTTTATTCATCGCTATGGCCTGATCATATCATCAATTGTACGATGCAGCAACAAATTATAAATTACCCTCATGGCAGACATTGCAAAAGTACGTCCGTTTCTTTTTAAGATGGACGTTCGCGTGTACTTTGAGATGCTGTTTCCGCTTGAACTTCCGGTGACAAATAGGACACTCGTGCGCACGCTCTTCTTTTACCCTTCGGGGTACGAGGTGTTCATTGTTCTGGAAGAGGATTTACACTATGTCATAACAATACAAAAAACACATTTATATACAGCAGCAAAAACAGAAATATATAATATTATTCATAAAACAAGATTTCTACCTCCTTTCTAAATGTCACCAGGTACATATCTTTAATGGGACGGTAGAACCTAAATTTAAATAATATCGCGATTTACTACTACTCGACTCTGGCTAGCAATCAATCGATTTCTTTCTACAAGTGCAACTATCAATTACTCGTACAGTGAAAATTCATTGTGGGAAAATGGCTGTTTTGAGCCCAAAAAACGGTGTGTCGAAAAATGCCTTCTTTTCTTCGGAAATCAACTACTTTTTTTTAAAGAATAAGTTTGAGTTTTGGATAAAAATAATATAATTACCAATATTTCCACTTCGATATCATTCCCGAGCAGAGTCTGCAAATGTGACAGACTGGCGGTTTCATGACTCTTCAGATGCACCATATTGACGTGAACCAACATCTGCTCCTCCATGTGGAATTCTGGAAATTGTGTTATTCATAATTAATTCGATATATATTTTATCCGAATATCAAATTTAAAATAATTTTAGATAGATGTCATTAAAAATTTATTAATTTAAAGTTAATAATTAATCATTATTTAAAAACTATCCATCTAAAAGTAGTATGTACAACATTTTTGCGAAATATTGTGTAAAAAGAATCAATACAAAATAACTATTTATGTCTTTAACGTAAACAAAACAATTAAAAAGATAAAAATAATAAGAAAACAATGACTGTTATTGCAAAGTTACAATAGTAAGTCATATAGTATCAATAATAAATGCAATTAAAAATCTAGCTAGGGATAAATTTGTTTTTAGGATTGCCTTTATAGACTCGTCAACGCTCAAATAAGGGGACTAAACCAGAAATTTGGCCTATCTATTGAGGTATTTCTAAATCTTTCACCCTATGGATTTTAAAGGTTCAACTGTTAGATGGACGGTATGGCGAAATTATATTTCCACGCGCAACCAATGTCATTAGAAGAAAGGAAGAGAAGACATCATAATAATTGAAATTGATAACGTATTATGTATTATGTAATATCCTTACTGCATTATGTAAGAAATCTTTGAATAGGTCAGTATTATACATCTAAGTAACAAAGTTAAATAAAACCTTATTTATTTTATTAATAAATAACAAATAGTTCAAATAATCCATGCAAATTCAAACAGATTTCTCTCTTCGTAACAAAAACGTTTTAAAACCGGAGAAACTTTATGCCTTGAAGGTCGACCATAACTTTATGAAACAATCTTAAATTCACAAGCATGGTTTCATTTCGAAAGTCGGTGAAAGTTTTTCCCCTCAAATAAAAATTTTGAAACTGATTCCCAGAAGAGCTAATATTCCCTTCAAACAGTTGCGAAGTTTCCCTTCAAATCTAAACAGTTACGAAAGCAGTTAAAACTATTTTTTTTTACAGAAACGTAATTTTCACAGTATGATTAAATTAAGCAAGAAAAACGGACAAAAAAATATTAATGTACAACTGAAGGTATAAAGAAAATGAACAAACATGTTTGAAGCAGTAAAACGAAGTTTATGGATCGATATTATAATTGCCAGGGATGTCGAAATTGGAATATAATAAATTAATTTAAATTCTAATGCTTTTAAATATACAACTTATACACGCTACAATTCATAAAAATAACTTTTGAATTTATTAATTAACTGCAATAACTTTTCTTATAAAAACATCGGATTTTATCTTCAGAAATCTTCAGAAAAACTACCAATGATACCGATAACTTCGTTTCGAAGAATGCTGGGGAAAATCAATTTAGAATTTTTAAAAGACCCTTTGGACGCTCACAAATAGTATATTGGCAACCCTAACCCCTCCTCTACTTTAGGGCCGATCCCAGGGGCCGAGGACTAAGGGGCGAGGGGGTAATGGAGGGAAAAAGGAGGGTTACACGTTGCCGGGGGAGCTAGATTATAGAGGGTTTTTAGATTGAATTATTTTAGTGAACACGTGCAGTGGTTTATTCTACGAAACTTTTGTTTAAGAATTATACCGTGTAAATCAAAAAGTATAGGACTTGCTATTTTGACGCACAGAATAGACTATTGGAAACTGTGAGAACCTATTGAAAACCATTCTTAATAATCATTTAACGTCGCAACATTATAATGTCGCAATTGCATATTAAAAACTATTCATCTTCAGTATGTGATTTCACAACCACATGTCCAAAACACTGCACGAAAATAAAGTGTAATTTTGGTTATTTGCATTTAAAAATTGAAGCCATTTTAAAGTTATCACTCCCTGCCTACATGACAGCATATGCGTAGGTCAATATCTAGGTCAGACTAAGTGGGAGGCTATGGGGGGTAACGGGGGGATGTTACAGTTATACCATACCCGTTTGCGGCAGTACCAGCTGGATCTAAAACGGTCAAAGGAACGTTGCCTTCGCCATGTATACGTTTAATAAAGAATATCTTTCGTAAAACAGCTTTAATATATAAAACTCACTAAGTTGTAACAAAATTATATCTTTAGTATGCTAAAAACACATAAATCACATTGTTTGGTCCAATCTTTTTATATAAAATTTTGTAGAAATACTTTATAGAGTAGAAATTTTACCATTAAGTCTTAAACACTCGTTATTTATCCCTCCTGCAAATTTCAAATACATAATACAATATACAAAAAATGGACAATGATATTTGAACCAGGTAGAGAAAGCCCCCTTATAGAATGTGCGCTTTCAAAACGAAATCTGTGAGAATTTGTGAACCTATTATTTTTCTTTATGTCTTTTAAGCTTAAATCTCTGAGCAGCTTTTATAGATATTTAAGTATATATTATAATAAAATTCATAACGCGTTATGGTTATGGCTTTAACCTGCTTTTTTAAACACGTTCATTTTTAACTACTTGATCATGCATGCATGGGAACGACAGATTGGTTCATTTCAATTGAAATGTATAACAGAATTACAAAAAAACTCCTTGGGGTCGCAATAGTATCGCAACATGACAAAATTACGCAAAAAATACACCAACGGCTACCTAGTCACACAATTTGAATGTACAAATGTTCGCGTACTAGTGTTGGTGGGAATGCGACATCAGAATACCAATAAACACAAAAAAGAAAATTAAATTAACTATATTATAAAATAAACTTCAGATAAACCTGGCTCACGCCGTTGGAAGTAAGAAGGGTCGGCCCCCTCAGAATTCTTGGAATAGCCGTCCCCTCCTTTCCCCTCTAGAAACTTGGCATTTCAACCCACACTATAAGCGGCTTTACGGTATTGCAGGGTTCCCCCACTATATACGAAAATCAATATCGTACCGCTTTCTATTTTACTCATATTCAGTAAATATATCTAAAACTTTTATATATATAATCACTACAAAGAAACTTCTCTAACAAGTTGATTTAACTATTGTATTTCAGGTTTTAAAAAAAATTATCTGCTCGCAGAGTAACATCATAGGTTATAAAGAATTATTTAAACAATTGTCAACTTTATCACTTTAAAAATACGATTTCAATTGATTAGCATACAAAACAAGATAACACATTTTACACTTGTTTTAATTTTTACTACAAACTGAATAATAGTCGTTTGCTCGATTAATATTTTGTAAGAAATGCTGAGATTTCGAGGCAACAAAATAAAACAACAACAAATAATAAATAGATAAAATAATAAATAACAACATCCAACGACCACATGCGATGAAAATCTAACATCATTCACAAATATATATTTATTTGTCATTCCGAATAAAAATAGCGGCACTGAGCCAGCAACAACTTTCAATGCCATATAAGTTCCCCCCTCTTTGTCACACGAGGTCCCTTCCCTCATTTTATTGATCGTAATGGCTTTGGGGTCATATTAAAAATATACGGGCTTTAATAAAATTCGATGTATAATTTAAACTTAGCGCTGCTAAGTTTTGATATTTAAAAATATAAAAATTTAAAAGGTGAACCAAAGTAAAAACTTGCCTTAACAAAATAAACACACATCTAAGAGACTGATATCCAAAGATCGGGATTACAAGATGTCTCTGCCTTCTACTCAGATATGTACGCCATTGAATAGAACTAATTTTGTCGGAACCCAAAATGTTTCCTTATGGTATACGCCATTCTCATTTTACATGACACCATAGATAATATATCTCAACAGGTAATGATTTCTTATAATACAAATCTTTGAGTAACTTAAAATCGTTATCAACAATTCCAATGAGATCCCCCTATGAAAAATATTAAACAGCAGATGGATTGTACAAGCGCAGCCGGGGCGGATCCCCAGTCGCTTTAAACCGGTACTTTTGTACAAGGTCGCCCCCCACTTGTGTTGCACAACGCTTTGGAAAGTCGCTTGGCATTAACCCAGTGGTGGTTATGACTAAATTCTGCATTTAAAACTTCCAAAGATTCAAAATTTACGATTTTATATTTGGCCGCGACTTAAGAGAAAATTCTACCCATTTAAGGGCTATCGCACCGTCACCGTGCCATACTTGGTAAAATTATGTATTGCCTGGACCCCTCTTTAATACCCGGCGAATTATTGTTTCGGATTGAAAGACAATATTGAAACTGATGTTATGTTTTGTTTTTTATAACGGAATGTTATGTTATGCATTCTAAACAAAAAGGCGATATTATAGGTAAAATACATCCCAAATACAAATGATTAATTAAAATACTTTGAAGACCTAAATATTCAGAACAGATTTTGCCTGTGCAAGCCATCACAGCATTCGACAGATGTGTACAGAGAACACAAAAGGGAGGGATTACATTTTTAGTTTTTGTAGTGTTTCTTAAAACCCATTCGGAGTTAGAATATACAATTTTACATTATATAAAAATGTATAAAGGGTGACTATGACGTTTAAAACTGAATTATATATAGAATCAGAGACAGACTAGTCGAAAATGTAACCAAATTCAACTGAAGACGGAAAAAGTGGCCCTTGATTGAAAAACTTGCCTTTTCTGCATTATAAAAATACATTACATTATCTCTTTAAATTGATCGCCTAGGCCCTAGAGATGAATTAAAAACCTACAAAGTTGATCAAAAGTTTTGGCGAGGTGAGGCCTCGGCAAAACTAAATGCTGCGGTTTGACCCACTATTCTTAATAAAGCTACACCTATATTTAGACGTTAATTATTGGATATGAGTTAAAATAGATTTGGTCTTTATATTTTGTAGTTGCAATAAAAAAAATCATTCTAACGTAATACATAACCTTACGATTAAATATACAAATTACTAAATTTTGAATAGTCTGTTAAAAAGAGTAAATCATACTGTAGGTGCATTGTCAAGATTCTGTCTTAGTTTTCTGATTTAGCGTCAATTAATTAGTTATTAGTCTATTATATATAGGGTACCCAAGTATAGTAAAACGTTTCGTGACCACCTAGTGAATCTTTATGCCTAAAAGTTACCATTATGTGGTGGAAAGTCGAAAATAAAATTAACAATAACGCGTAATTCAATCCCCGCCCCGCATCTTAACGTTTTACAAAAGGACCCCCCCCCAAAATACGCTACGTAATACTTGAACGGTCCCTTATCTATTGAAGCTTTATTGAAGTTGGGTTTAAAAGGAATATCAGGAACGTCATGTACGCGTTTCAAAATGCTTGATGAAGAAATCTACGGACACAGATTATGTATAAATAAGTAAAAAAATACCTTTGCCACACAGCTTGCAGATCACCTCCTTCTTGGCATGTGCCCAGCTATGTATCTTCAGATGGTCCTTTCTCTTATAACTTTTACCACAGACACTACACACGAATGGCCTGGCGTTCCTTGCGTGGTCCAAGGTAACAGTATGTTCCTCAGAATGCTCCATGCTAGTCTCGTCCATAGACTGATGCTGATCGCTTCCGAACTCTTCAGACTAAAAATATTAAATATTTTAAATAATTGTTCTTTTTGTACGGACTAAAATAGCTTTTAAAACCCTAACGGGTGGATAAATAATATTTTTAGAAAAAGTCCAATTAACATTTAAAATATAATACTTAAACAATGATCAGTGGCAAGTATTTGACCAAAGGTTATAAAAGAGTCGGAAACTGTAAACTCTGGAGCGAGACTTACTGCCTACTCTGGTTTCATAAAATTTTACTCTCTTAGCAAATAATTTATTTTCTTAGGTGTCTAGCATGCTCCAGTACAATGCGAGCGCGAAGCCTCGAACGCGGTCTTTTAGATACTAACCGAGGTTATTTTAGTGGGCATTGCCCACCGTGTTTCTGTATAGCAAAATTCTGTTCTAGTATTTTGAATCGGTAAAGTGACATCTTTGAGCGAGTACTAGACTGGGGTGGGCACGGCCCACCCGGCCCCCTTTATATCTATCTATATATATATAATGAAAATGGTCTTCGTTTGAGGCTCCTTCACGCCTAAACCACTGATCGTATCGACATGAAACTACCACCATTCGATGCGAAGATGGTTTATAGCTATTTATTTATTAAATTCCAACGTTCCTTCATTTTTTTATTGCTGTTTTACTTTTATGAAAATTTATCCATACGGACTTCACCGCGGAAACATTCGGGGAGGCTTCCTAGAACCTCTAAACGTCAACATCTGTTAAAAACTCGATTTTCGAAATATTTCAATTTTCTTAGCGGGAAGTTAAAAAGAAGAATAATAAAAATATGAAATAAATAAAATAATGAAACATAAAATTTATTTTAATTCGTCCAGCAAAGCGGGCGCGAAACGGCTAGTCCGCCTATATAACTATTATTTAAAAGGTATACTAACATAATTGAACCACTTCCGTAGCAAGGCACAAACCGTATTAGGCGACATTTCGACTAATTACTGGCACTAGTACTAGGGGTGTTATATAAAAACTGTTACTGACGAAATCATCTTGAATTTAATTTTTTTTTATTGATATTATATTAAACAAAATCTTCCGGTTCCTTAAAAAATCACGCTCCACGACTACTCCGTCCTCATCTTCAAATTTATGGCTCCTAATATGTTCCTTTAAACACCGAATTATGTAGAAATCACTAGGAGCTAATAAAACTTTTCGAGTATGTAGATATATTTTATTACCGCGCGAACTTCAATTTTTCTTGTTTTAAGAACACGTTCCGACACGACGCAAAAAAAATAAATTCTAATAAAAAAAATACAAATGATGCTTTCTTTTTTATTATTATATCTAATGTTTGGGCACCACGATTGGCAATATTATTTTTCTTTCCAAGGTGTATCTATCGCGTTTTCGCGTTTATTTATTGAACACTCTTCGTATAATTTGGTCCGGGTTAGTCGACAATACTGATCACAACTTATAGACCAGTGCAGATAGCCTTCAAAATAAATAAAAAGTGAAAAAAATTACAGTAGGATGAAACCCATTAGAAAAGCAGGGGAATATGATCAAAATGAAAGGAAAAATAATTTACGGTCGATCTGAGGTCGGGAATGGTAGGGGGGGGAGTTTTAAGGGTAAAAAACGGTTTATCTCGATTTCCGGCAAATCTAAAAGTCCTATCGAAGAAAGTTAAATGGCAAAGTTGTAGGTAATAAAAAGATCTAAAACTCTTGTATTCACACATTTTTCTTATAACCTCAAAATTTATGTGAAAAATTCAAAAAACCAAGTTTTTGGTTTTTAATTTTTATCTTTTACAAATTTTTTTTTTTAACGAAATTTGGTGAAAACTTACCTTATTATGTCCCAAATACACTGTAATTTATTTGATTAAAAATATTTATTTTTCACCTTATTTTGAATTAATATCGAAAAAACACCCTAATTTTCAATCGAAAATTCTGACGTCAAAATTTCAGCTTTTTTCAAAAAGTTGGTGTGCTTTCAGTTCGTTGAAATCTCTACTTTCCTATGGTAAAAATATATATATATATATATTACCATAGTAAATCTTCTCAGAAAATGCAAAACATCGTATGCAGTAACGCCCAGACCCGTCATACCCTTACGACGAATACAAGAGTTTTAGATCTTTTTATTACCTACAACTTTGCCATTTAACTTTCTTCGATAGGACTTTTAGTTTTGCCGGAAATCGAGATAAACCGTTTTTTACCCTTAAAACTCCCCCCCTACCCCTTCCCGACCTCAGATCGACCGTAATTTATTTTTCCTTTCATTTTGATCATATTCCCCTGCTTTTCTAATGGGTTTCATCCTACTGTAATTTTTTTTGGTTTCAAAAATTATCGGCACTGGTCTATTAACAAAATTAACATAACAAAATTTCAATTATTATCAAACATTTGCATGAGATTACAGCACTTGACACCGTGGTAGATTGTTGTATAGAATTTATTTGAAGAAAAAACACGGCTTTGATGGTAAATCCTGAGCTCAAAAATGAGTGCGTTGAAATTATACTACAATCGTTTACGAAAATGAAATTGTAAAAGAAAGACAAATGAAGTCGGTAAAAAAGAACGAAGCCTGATTATTGGCATTTCACAATCTGTGGTTAGAAATATCACAAATATCGCAATTTCTCGACTCTTATTACAATCGCGACGTATATTATAAAAGTATTTATACGACCACATATAAAACTTTTTTGCTACGACAGACACAATTGCCATGTGTCTACGATGGTAGTTAATACACCTGGCTTGAACGGCAGAGTAAAACAGATGCTAAGTTATTTATAAAAACGACAAAAAACTACGGAGGATGATTTATGTGGTAGGAAGGTTTGTTCTTTATTTCTTTTTCGTACATATTTTAACTTTATATTTCTTCAAAATTTTTATTATACTTTTAGAAATTACTTTGGAAAATTATCTGGAAACCCAGCCAATTCTGCAAATATTCTGCTAAACCATTTCTCTTTAACGAGGCCAAAGCCCGTCGGTCGTTAGAGCTCTGCGCTAAAATGGGGGAACCAAAGTAAGGGAGGGGTGCGGCCCCCCATTTTAGTCTAACAGAGGGCGGGCCAACACACACTACGTAACCTTATTTTTTACGAAAATCGATATTCCAAAAGGGCTTACAGCACTTTATGCGGCAGAATTTTAACTAGACACTGTTGAAAATTTAATTTAACCGTTACAGAATTTAGGTTTATATAGGACGCAAACTTAGATTTTAACGTGTATTTAATAAAGAATATAATTCGAATGAAGTAATAAATTGCGAAAAAGGCATTAGGTATTTTATAAAAATAACCAATTTTAAATCTACCATGTTATCAATAAAGCTCTTACTATGCACAGATATTTTCCGAGTGCAAGTGGCTTGTCGCTTATCACTTCCAGGCCAGGCTGTGTTAAAAATAAAAGAGAAAACAGCGAGAACTGTGAAGATAAAATAATATACGTAATTACGTGTCCTAAACTTTTTTACGCCTCAATTGCGAATTACAAGACTGCCGTGAAATATTTTCCAAGATTTGATAGATATTCCAAGTAGTAATTTTTTTCCTTTCAAAGTTACCATGAGAACGTTCTAATCTGTCGGTTGACCGCTACGTACCGAGGGGTAGGTCAACGGGTGACTCCCACAAACCCTTTGGGTACCGACCCTTCTAACCCTCTACATTATACTGTATATACGACAGCACACACGGTAGAAATAGGGAAAATTGCTTGGTAGTTTGTTTTATAAAGTTTCATCCAAAAAATCTAAATTCTTACGTTCGTTAGTCCTCTTAATCTACGTTGCTATGACAACCAATTTTAGTTCTTTAGGCCCCATACAATAAAGGACATTTTTTATCACACCTAATTAGGATTAGTCACACTTTAGGTTGCAAATACAATTGCCCTTTGTACTTCAAGGACCTAATCTATACTGACATTATAAAGATTGTGAAGTTCTCTGGATCTACTGAACTGATTTTGAAAATTCTTTTTGTTAGAGTGATAGACATATATTGACCCTAAAATGGAAATATATATTAGTGGTCGTCGGATTTGCAAAGGAATTTTACTTTAAAATACTATTACAGCCGTGCTCAAAGTCGTGCTGCTTATAATCGAGACTTCATTTCCGTATGCCAAAAATGAATTGGTTTCGACATACAGGAATCTCTACTCTGAATCTTACCTTAGAACTTAAACATTCCTCTAATATTATACTCATTGCACCAAATGACACTATCATTAAAATTAGGACATAGTTACGTTAATAGAACGATTCTACAGAACTTCAGTATTGCAACAGTTATCGTCTAACTTTTATCAAGTTCTTCTACTAATCGCTCATATTATAGTTAACCTTGCGGTAACAGGGTTTTTGTTACATGTCGCATTTTCTACGATTATGGTAAATAATATGAATATTATTTTTGTGCATAAAAAACTAATTTATAAGCTTACAAAGAAAAAAATATTCCAAAAAAACCAATATTTTAGATGCTACAATGTAAAGAAATAGTGTGTGACATACGTATTTAAGTTCGTTACTTTTAATGCAAACCTTAGTCCCCATTATTATTTGTATTTTGTTAAATATTTAAACTTGGCTTGTGAGTGTTTTATTATTAGTTTTTACTCAGATGTTATCCTGTTCTTACACACGTAAAAAAATTGTTAAACTTAAAGCTTTTTTTCGATGGACACCCCACGATATCTCCCATAGGGGAGCAAAAAATAAACCAGGACAAGATAAATGAGATAGCAAAAAATTCTACCTGCCCTCAGCCCGACTAGGGTGGGGTTTTTCCCTGCTTACGATATAACAATAATACATTCTTTCATACAATCACTGAACTAACATCAGTAATTTGTTTTATGACACTCTTTGTTAAAATTTACGCCGACAAAAATATGTTTTTTAAAGAATATTATAACTATTTTAAGTCATACTTATTTTCCTTCAATATTATAATTATTTTCCTTAATATTACGAATTGTACATTTTTTTGATTAAGACTTGAAGTAATTAATGCTTTCATGAATAATTAGTGATCTTTGTTTTATTTTATTTCTATACACATATTTAGGTTTTTTATTTAACATAGCATGTAGGTATTTACAATCGTATACCATGTAATTGTCAGAAAAAACATTGGATCAGCAGCAAATTTACCAAAGCATGATCTCTAATATCATGGATTATAAAAATATCCACTTTACTAATTTGAAAAAAAAAATCAGCAATAATTAAAGCCATTTAACTTTCAGGTTCTAACTCATACTAATTTGTTTAGGTCACGAAAATACCAAATTAAAAACTAGTCAATCCACAATTTTGTTATAAATTCTATATTATAACTTTATTTGGCAATGTCATGAAGTAGATAACTATATTGATTATTAAAACTAAATGATAAAATTTATGATTTCTATCTAAGACATAATGGTCTAAGATCCCGCTGCAGGATTGGTGCGTCATCACTATTTGTTTAAAACCAAATTTTTATGTTTATTTATAATTAAGAGAATATATATTTACTAGGGTGCCTATCAAAATTTGGCCCCATTATTTTTAATTAAATTATTTTTAATTGATTTTTGGTAAAAAATTGCGTTCATTATTATTTAAATAAAATAACGTCTACATCACGGTAATTAATATGAAGATTCTAAAAAATCACGGGTGCCGTTGCGCACTGGCCGCCCTCTTTGCAGCCAGGTGTAAACGGTATGTTTCGATAAATTTATACGTTTATAACCTATTTTTATTAATTATATGTCAAATTGAAGCTAATTTTTTTCTATTAATTATCATATAAAGTTGCTTAATTAAATCTGGCCGCAAATAAGGGCTACTGGCTGTTAAAGATAATAAATATTTAAGGTAGAGTGAAAGAGAGTTAGCGCGTAACATCATTTGTCAGACGAGGACAGCGATTGTCGGCTGTGCGAGCTTTTAAGCCATTCGCATCGTCGAACGTTAGTGTTCTCAACCACCGGGGAGTAATAGAGCGACCTATAATAAATACTCCAAAAAATATGTAATTTTTTTTAAAACTGACAAATTTAAAAATTGCAACAAAAAATTAATATTGATTTGATATATCGACGGTCTAGTTAGCAATTTGTCTAACTCCTTATTTTTAGAGGGTGATTTTTTTAACATTTTGATGAAGACATAATCCAATTACAAATTATTTGATGATTCAAACTTAAAAATTATTCTCTATTAGATATTAATGATATTAAATGGTTTTTTAAAATGATAATAAATTTTGGTCATTGTTTTTTTCGTACAAATAAAAGATTCTCTAAAATGGAGTTAGATAATTTGCTAATTAGAACGTCGATATTTAATATGAATTTAAAAAATAAAAAAATAAAACCAAGGTGACTTAAGTAAAAGAAAATTTTATTGCGAAAGTATTATTTAAAAATTTTATTAGATTTTATTCAAGTAATTGATTGTCTATTACATATTAATTAAACATTTAAGCAAATTAAAAAATTAAAAAATTAATCTTATAACACTTATATTTCCGTAACTCTTTTTTAAAAATCTGAATCATCGGAGCTTTCTGTTGTACTATCTCGGAGCTATCCTTTCATCGCTACAAATATCAGAATCGTCGTTATCGGAAGCTTTGTTCATGGATTCACATGCACACTATTAACTTGCGTTGGAGTTGGTCTCCCAGGAACCATGTTGGTTTTAAAAACCATCTAGTACCAGCCAGCCATTCTGGGCTGAATTTGTTGCAATTTTTAAATTTGTCATTTTGAAAAAAAAATTCATATTTTTTGGAGTATTTATTATAAGTCGTCTCTATTACTCCCCGGTGGTTGAGAACACTACGTTCGACGCATGCGCAATGGCTTAAAAGCGTCGCACAGCCGACAATCGCTGTCCTCGTCTGACAAATGATGTTCGCGCTAACTCTCTTTCACTCTACCTTAAATATTTATTATCTTTAACAGCCAGTAGCCCTTATTTGCGGCCAGATTTATTAAGCAACTTTATATGATAATTAATAGAAAAAAATTAGCTTCAATTTGACATATAATTAATAAAAATAGGTTATAAACGTATAAATTTATCGAAATCATACCTGTTTACACCTGGCTGCAAAGAGGTGCGGCCATGTGCGCAACGGCACCCGTGATTTTTTAGAATCTTCATATTAATTACCGTGATGTAGACGTTATTTTATTTAAATAATAAATGAACGCAATTTTTTCCAAAAATCAATTAAAAATAATTTAATTAAAAATAATGGCGGCCAAATTTTGATAGGCCCCTAGTAAATATATATTCTCTTAATTATAAAAAACATAAAAATTTGGTTTTAAACAAATAGTCGATGAGCGCACCAATCCTGCAGCGGGATCTCGTACTAACTTTTAAGTTCTTAATAAAAATTGTTTTAGTAATTTTCCTACCTCCATTGATGCATCTGGATCTGTGACATTGCCAGATACACTTGTAATAATTGGTGTTATATCTTCAAAATCATCTTCAACCTCCTCCTTAATGCTTAGCTCCTGGTCACTCATTGGTATAATATTTTGCTCCAAAAAGTGTTTATTGTGAGTTTGTATGTGTTTCTGTAGATGATCCTTGCGGTAAAAACCTGTTAAAGTAAAATTAATTATAATATTTACATATCAAAAATATAAAACAGTTTAAAACATAATTTTAATGACTACTGTTTAAATTAAAAACACGAATGTTATTAGGAAAAGTTATACTTACATTTACTGCATAGAGAACACTGAAGAGTTTTAACACCTTTGTGAATAGATTTATGAATATTAAGATGCTCTCTCCTTTTGAAGGCCTTGCCACACTCTTCACAGGTATATGGTCTCACTTCCATATGCCCTTGCATATGCCTATCTAAATGTTCACGCCTCTTCAATCTAAAATAAAATGCACTTTAAAATACTTTGATTTATAATGGCAAAATAACCTATGGAGTATGGACATATCAAATTTCTAATAATCAATTTTATGTATGTACAAGAACGCAAGAAACTTTTAGGAGTGAAGTTTTTGAAATAAATGTAAATAAATTATAAATTTAAGTATTTATATATTGTATTGTAGTATTTATACATATACTATTGAACACTAACCCTGTTCCACAAATACTGCACAGGAATCTATATTCTTTAAAATGAGAACATAAATGTACTTCTAGCTCCTCCTTGTCATCATACTGCACATTGCACACAATACAAATGTACCGAGTCACTCCCTCCAAATTCTTAGTGATTGTGGCCAATTTGCTTCTGGACAAGAGACTCCGTTTTAACATCAACTCCATATCTTCTACTAAAAATATTAGTTTGTTACCTAAATTATTTTTTTTTATATTCAAACTTTTAAATGCAAAAACTAATTTTACTTTTTGAAAAAAAAAGTAAATGTAAAAAGTTAAGCAACTTGAAAATTTACATAAACTATTTTTTTTAATATTTAGCAGTGTTTATTTAGGTAACAAGTTTTAATATAACTGTTACCTAGTTTTAGTAAGTACTTAAATAATAAAAAAAATCGTTACCTTTACTACTAGAATCCATCACCACATAGAAAGTTTACAGTCCGCGGCGCGAATTTGTTACACAGTACACACTACACACGGCATCCGTTAGAAAGTAGAGGCGAAAAATGAAACTCGAAATCCCTTCCCCTACCAACAGGCGTCGCCCACGGTCCAAGGCTGAAGCTCCCCTCCGGATTGGGGAGACCCGACACCCCCTGTGTCAGTTGTATGCCACTTTAGCGAAGCGGGGGACCCCACTTAACCGATTTAGGAGGGTGGGCGACTTTACCCTAACATCGAGTTAAGTTCGGCTACCTGAGCCAAAAAATTATTGCAAGTCAAGTGTTTATGTTGTTTATCTTAATAATAATTTATAGCAATAATTTAAAAAAATATTTACTCTTACTTTTTAACTTACGTGCACGTTTGTATTTACACAATATTTTTTGGCAACTCTAAGAATGCTTAAAAAGAAATATTTGTTAACCGGAAACAAATTCTTTTCAGATGGAGAAAACTAAACATAAAACTTGTAATTATTTTTAAAATTAATAAATAGAAATTTCAGATTGAAAACGACAGCCCGATCCAAATGTCACTGTCAACTATGAAAATAACTTCTTAGTAATTACCATAGAGGAAGGAAATCTATGAGGAATTGTTTGTATGATTGTACTTTAGAATAAGAAAAAGCTTGGAAACCACGATTATTTTTTGCTACGTGAATAATAATCCCAAAAATTAAGATATAAGCGACGATAGTGGAGACAGAAACATTTCGAAAGGCCCACTAAGTACTAACCAGTGATACCGACTTGAGGATTTACCACCCAAATTTAGGGGGAATTAAGATGCCTAGGGGTGTTTTATGGGGGTATATCTTTCAAGTTTTTTTTAACGCAAATTTATATTAATCTTTGAACCCGACTAGCTCAATGGTTAGACAAGTACAAAAACCTCTAAAAAATAATGTCAAGAAAGAAATGTAGTTAAAATTTAAAGAAAGGAAATTTAATAAATATAATCATAAAACATATAATTAAGTCATTAATTAATTTATGTAAATGTGTAAAATGCACTAACGTAATGCATAACAACAACAGCTATTTTATAATACTTGAATGTATTTTTATTAGATATTTGAAATTATCTATCTAAATGTAGAATAAAAAATTGGGATTTTTGTCGATATTTAGGGGTATTTGAAGGGTCCTAGGGTGAATATTTTGATTTAGTAGGAGTTGGCATAAAATGTACATATGTATTAAATAATATAGTGGTTGAAATTACTTTTATAAAAAATGTGGTCATTGAAAGTCATCGTCCTGTCATTACCTAACGAGATACTTATCGGGGTAGCACAAAAAGGGGAAAAAGCGTAAATTTTTTAAGTTTGTTTGGTATACCAACACTTTAAACATCTAGCGACTTTTTAATATTCTGGCTAGCGACATTTGTTTTAATCGAGTTGGCAACACCTTTTAAATTACCCCTCTTGGGACACTTCCTTTTTGGCGGGAAAAGGAGAGCCGCGTTTTTCAAATAAAATTTTGTTTTATTTTAAATTAAATTGTCTTTTTCAAGACAGAGTGCTTTTGGAGGAGAATAATGTCTTCAGAGAGTGATGGTGATGAAGACGGGTCTACAAAGTTACCCGTAGACTCGAAAAAGAGGCGATTTGATAACTCAGTAAAATCGAACGATGTCGATAAGTATAAACCTTACTCTAAACCCGAGTATAAGCGATCCTACCCGGATAATAATAACATAGAAGAGTTTCCCGTTTACGTACAGGGAATTAAAATGGAAGATAAGATAGGTAATAAAAATCCTTTGCATTTATCAAAAATATTCAAAAACGTGAAGGGCATTAAGGAATGTCGTCGAGTTAATGCGGCCAAAATTATGCTGGTTTTCAAACAAGCTGCAGCTGCTAATGATTTTCTGAGTCACGTTAGCTTACGTGACAATAATATGAAAGCTTTTGTACCAGCCTCTTCGGTGGAGCGAGTGGGTAAAATTCGTTTTATCCCTAAAGAATGCAGTAACGCGGATTTATACCACAAACTAATGGCTGACTCTGAAATTGTTGGTGTTAGACGTTTCATGAAAAGAACTTGTGATGGTTTAGAACCCCTTACTACTATAAGCGTTACCTTTGTAGGAACTGTTCTCCCTCAGTATGTTTATTTAGACAACTGGCGTTACAAAGTTTTCACTTATATTCCTCCTCTCATGCAATGTTTTAAATGCATGAAATTTAGACACAGTGCCAAAGTATGTAGAAACAATCAGGTTTGTTCAAAGTGTTCAGGTGGTCATCCTATAAGGAATGCTCAGCTGAATTTTTAAAGTGTGTTAACTGTGGAGGAGACCACTTGGCAGTATCCAGGTTTTGTCCTCAAAAAGCAGCTCAGATTAAAAAACATGAAAATAATTATTCATCTAAAATGTATTCAACTGTATTATTGTCAAGTGATTTTCCTCCGTTACCTAGTGATAAATCAGTTGTAAAGTTGGCTCACAATAAATTAGCTTCACCTACTGTCCAACCTAAGAAAAAAAGTTATCACAAAATTCATCAGATAGTTCAATTCCAGTCCAGTCTGCTCCTCCTAATAGTGGTTCCTATGATCAGCTCATTAAAGATGATCAGTTCTTGAGTAAAATTATCAAAACTTTAGTTATGTTAGGCAATTCTAATACAGCAAACACAACTGCACACATTAAGGATATATTAATACAAAACTTAACAAAATAATGGATTATTTACGATTAATGCAACATAACATACAGAGTATCAATAATAAAAAACCACTTCTTAAATCTTTATTATATGATAATAAAATAGATGTGTGCTTGCTAAATGAAACTTGGTTAAAAGATTCTGGTCTGCCTTTTTATATACCTGGTTATATATTTGTTGGAAAAAATGCTAAAAATGAGCATGGAGGTGTAGGTATTTTAATAAAAAATGATATTAAATTTAAGGTCTTAAAAAACTACTTTCTATCAAAATATTCAATTTATAGCTATTTCTATAATAACAGGATGTGGTCCTGTCTCAGTGCTCTGTGTCTACTGTCCACCAAATAATAGCTCAATTAGTTTGATTAATTTGAGAAAGATTATTTTGCAATTACCCAAGCCTTGTCTTGTATCTGGTGATTTTAATGCTCACAATATAGCTTTTGGTTGTGATACTACCAATTCAAGAGGTCGTGAATTATTTGATATATTTGATGATGCTGATTTATGTATTTTAAATTCTGGTGACCCTACTACTATTTCTAGACCTGGTAATAATGCATCAGCCATTGATGTTACTTGTGTTAGCCCTGATATTGCACCACTTTGTGAGTGGTATGTCGGTGATGACTCTTTAGGGAGCTATCATTTACCTACTTTTGTTAACATCATTACCTCAACTCAAAAATATACAGTACAAGAGTCTATACATAAGTATTTATATAATAAAACAAACTGGAATATGTACAATGATAAATCCAAAGATATATTTGATAAATTTTCTCCTTCAACAATTGATCCTTTAGTTCAATATGATGAATTTTCTAAATTACTACTTAGTTTAAAAGAAAACTGTGTTCCATTGTTAAAGCATAAATCTTCTAGTAAAAAGTCTGCTCCTCCAGCTCCTTGGTGGAATGATACTTGTGCCGAGGCTGTAACCAAATCAAGAGAAGCGTTAGCTAATTATAGACGTAATATGACAATGGACAATTATATAGAATATAAGAAAATAGATTCGAGGAAAAAAATTATTATAAAAATGGCTAAGAAAGACAGTTGGAAAAGTCTTTGTTCGTCTTTTAATAGATTCACTCCAGTATCCCGAGTGTGGAATTTTATTAGAAGATTTAAGAGAATTAACATTAATAGAAATGTGTCCAAAAATGATGAGTGGATAGCAAGTTTTTTAGAGAAGTTAGGGCAATCTAGTAATAACAACGATAATATTTCTGGTTTATTTGAATTTAATGATGGAAGTCAGTGGAGCAAGTTTCTACTTAACTCTTTTTGTTTTGAAGAACTTGACATGGCTTTGTCTTCAAGAAAGAATACAACTCCTGGTCTTGACGATATTCCTTATATTATGCTTCAAAATCTACATGTTTCTGTAAAACATATTCTACTTAATATTTTAAATTCGCTTTGGTCTCAGCAATTGATTCCAGAATCCTGGAGGTTGCAATGTGTCATACCAGTGTTAAAACCTGACAAACCCAATGATCATTTTAATTCGTACAGACCCATTTCTCTTACATCTTGTGTAGGGAAATTGTTTGAGCAAATGATTAAGATTAGACTGGACTATTTTGTTGAAAACCAGAAACTTATTCCTTCTTGTCAGTTTGGATTCAGAAAAGGCAAAAGTGCAGCAGAAAGTTTTATAGCTTACCTGACTGATATGAAGAAGTGTTTGTTATCAGGTTCTACTGCAATTTGTGTTTTCCTTGATGTTCAGGGGGCATATGATAATGTAGATCTTCACCAATTAATTAAGGTGCTATATTCTTTGGGCTTCCCAGGAAAGCTTTTAAAATGGATTTTTCATATGTATTATGGTCGTTCTTTATACATTAAATACAATAATGGTTTTCATGGTCCAAAATTAGCATTCAAGGGGTTGATGCAAGGGTCTTCTTTATCTCCAATCCTGTATAACCTTTATACTTCACAAATATATACATATGTGACTGAATCTGTAAAAATATTACAATTTGCTGATGACATCTTAATATATAGTGTAGGCAGTAATT